AGTATTGAGATTGTTATTAAAATATTGAGCAGTTTGGGCCCCTGTATGGACATGTAGGATGCTCTACTCAAAACTATTGCCAGCTGCCTTGAAACAGATGGAGGAAAACTGGGACCAAAATAGCAAGGCTTAGTGGTAGTTAACATAAATGCTGCAATGACAGCTCATTGCCTTCACCTTCATAGGTGTCTGCAGGACTGAAACCAGCGCGGTGGTGAGCAGGACAAGTGTGCGGAGCAGAGGAGCTGTGATCCTGCTCTCCTATCAATAGGGCTATAGATCCTGCTCTCCTAATGAGCTCTAGAGACCCCAAAGCCTGCGGCAAGAACAGGTTGTGGCAAGAACAGGTTCCTCCTGGTAGGAAGCTGATGCAGGAAAGTTCCTGCCATTTTAAACCATGTTTCCTGTTGTCCCACACACAGTGCCTGGACCGTGTAGCGTTATTAAATGAATGAGAGAGAGAGAGAGAGAGACAGAATGAAAACGCCTGCAATCTGTTTGCTCCCGAAGAGTCTAACTGGGACCCAGTTAATCATTATTTGGGAGTAAGCAAGTCACTGCTTGCGGGTAGCAATTAAACAATTGTTTTAAAGATTAATGAGCAAAGGAGACATTGGTTTCATTTTAACAAAACAAGCGCTGTTCAGAGCAAAGGCCTTGGGCCAGCATGTGACGTGCTGGTGCCTTGCTCTGCGTGGCAGCTGTGTTCCTGTCTTGCTCCAGCTTCCAGTGCCTTTATAAACAGGAATCATTCAGACATTTTGCTAGCAAAAGCATAGAAATACTGAAGTAAAATGATTGTATGCATTGGCCGTATCGGGTGAGATAAGTTTATCTGAATCATTTTAAACTAGAAACTGTTCTTTAAATACTTGAAAACTTGGAAGGTTTGCGGAGTGCCATATCAAATGGGGAATGTGCCAGCAGTGTTAGCGATGCCCTTCTCGTGAATGTGCCTGCACTTGTGTGTGGAGGAGGCTGGCTGAGCAGGGAAGCTCCACAGCAGCCTCATCTTATCCCATGGAGTATTCCCGCCGTCCGGCCGGTTTTTGGCACCGGGGTTGGGCTGTTGGCTGCACACGCGTGTGCTCAGACACGAGGGGCTGGGCAGTAGCTGCCTGGACGTTGCTTGGACTGTCAGCCAGCTTTGCAGCCAGCCTTGCAGCAAGGTGATAGCTGGTTTAGCTGCGGGTCACGATGAGGATATCGCGCAGTCGTGCCTCATTTGGGAAGACTGGACAAAGGAAAAACATAAATTGGAGATGTTGTGAAGGGAGAAAGGGGAACGTGCTGTTTCGTTGATGTTAATGTGCAAAATTCAAGCTGCGTGTTGAAGGATGGCAGATACACAGTTGTGTAAGTTGCAGTTGCTCCAGCTGCAAGGGTCACTGGGACAATAAGAGCTGCATGGATTAAAGAGAATATTGTATTTCATAATTAGAGACATGCACAGGGTTTTCTGCTTTGGAAATGGACAGGAGGATGTGTCTATGCTGACAGTAAAATATGTAACATGTTGATGCCAATTGTGGTGGCATGTCTAAAAAAAACAAAGAAAAAAACTGTTTTGCTTTCTTCTATCTTCTTGCTGCATCCTGCATCCTGGATCCTGCCTTTTTGTGTTTTTATCGCTTCTGTGGACTTGCTTCCTGCAAACCATGAGCTCCAGGCACCACCCACTGCTGGGCACCGTTCTCTGTTCCCTTTGGTGCCAGACTCAGTGTAGACTGGGCAGAGAATTGCCCGTGATGGTGCAGCTTTTCCTCCCCTAAATGGGAATTGTCAGAACTGAGCTAATATCAGCAATACATTAGCAGCTCATAATTGCCAAGCCTGTCAGCACGCCTTGCAAAACATGAGGGCAAATGCAGACCAGGGCCTCTTCCATCAGCCTTGAGCCTGTGAGCATGAGACCACTCTGTTGGTAGCCTTACAGACCTGCTTATGTGCATGGACAGGCCTTTTAAATAAATGCTAATGACTGAGTAACTAAGAAGTTTGAGCATCATTTTTCACCTTGACAGAGCCTTTTTTTGTTCTTTTCCTGATTTTCAGTGAATTGTTTCAAAATAAAAGGCTGTTGACTGTCTTTGGGTAACTCTTGAAGATAAACTGTTATCTGAACTTACTCCTTTGCCTAAACCAAAAGGCATTGTGTTTCAGAACTGTGCTTTCAAACTCCTGTTACGGAGCAGCACGTAACTGATACAGCAGAGAGAGCACCTAGGTAGTTTTTGTTGAGTTTTCCACTTTACCATGCAATTATGGAGCATGAAAGTGAGCACAGCCAGAATTGTGGGTCTGCCCATCTGCAGCTTTGGCTGTCAACATCCTCGAAATCCAGATGCTGGAGATACCAAATAGCTACACTGTGAATCTGGATTGCTTATCAAGGAGCGTTTTCTTACGGCATGGCCAGCTGTGCTTTAGAGGCTTCATGGAAACAGCTACTGGCTCTGCAAGCTCCCAGTACGTGTTGTTTTCCTTGGGGATTTAGTAGCTCGGCCTCTCTTGCTCTGTAGGCATTAGCCAGCTGAGATATGTTGATCCCTGGTTCGAAGGTCTGTGCCAACAGAAACGTAGTGGTACATAGCAGACTCTGTCCTGAAAATCAGCCCTGTCTAGTCCCTGCTCTTCCCTTTTGCAATACCTGTTGCAAGACATTGCAGGATTTTTTTTTTCTCTTGTATCCCCTCTTAACCTGTTTCTGCTGCCCCATCCTTTGTTGGAAGCTTAACACTGCCCCCTTTAAAAATCCTTGGGAAGCCTAGTCCATTCTTGGGGGGTCCTGAGAGTCAGGTTAATTAGTGGTTAATTATTTATTAGTCAAATTTATCTGTATGTATAAAATGCATTAATTCATCCAAAATGGGCAGCTGATGAATGGAGTAGTAGTGAGGTTTTGTTTAGACTTTTTAGCAGACTGTATTAACAATAATTTATTTGCAAGAGGATGTTGGTATTATATGCTGCTTATTCCACTAATATTGGCCTGATGCACTGTAGTGCTTCAGTATGTGCAGTCCTACACAGAGATTAGCACTTTAATGTCCTGGCTCTTAAAAGCTGTTTTAGATGGGGTTGTGAGGTGGAAGCTGAGCAAAAGCAGAGAAGGGCCATGGCTCAGTGAATCTCCTGTGCAAAGCACCAGCGGTCACTGTAGAAGAAAGAGCAACAAGGAGCTCAGTGCAAGGAAATTACTGCTCTTATTGTTCTGATTTTGATCTTTCTTTCCCCTCAGCTAATAGATGAGGGCCCTCTCACACATTTTCCATTGTCGTTTTGGCATGAAATACCTCTTTGTGTGATAAGAGGAGGGAAGCAAGAAGAAGCTGCTGTTATTTGCAGACATTGTAAGGGAAACTTGGCATGCTTTATTTCCTTTTGAGGCTTGTGTTTAAATTAGGTAGTTTCTCACACACACAACAGGCAGAAAAGGGCTTTTTCACCACCTTTACAACAAACTGTGGTATCTGAAATGTTGAAGGCATTTGGTGCATCTCACGCTGAGGATGTGTTGCCACCAGCTGCTTGCAAAATGCCCCCTTGTTCTGCTTATTTCATGCGCTAGATCATGAAATCTAGATCAGAGGGCCGCTCTTCCCAAGTGGCCACCACTTCTTCGCATTCAAACCTCTTCCTCAAATAAAAGACTTGATCTCCCTAAGGGTTGTGCTCTGCAGACCAGGATGCTTTCCTCTGCTTCGACCTCAGCCTCCCATACCATATATCATGACATGTGAACTCATGTTCATTAGTTTGCTCTGGCAGTCGTGTCTGGTCAATGCTGACATTTCCAGTAGGTGTAAACTGCATTGTTTAATTTAAAAAAATGTAGCCGAAAGCTGACTTTACCTGTGCCGGTAGTTCACTTCATTGTGAAGCCTATATTTGAAGGGTTATAATTCAGTGCAGAATAGCTCAGAACTCCATTTTCAGCCTATAATTAGAAATCTGTGACATATTTTAAAAATTGGTGTATAAAAGATCAGGCCAAGATTTTGTCTTTCAAGCAAACCATTTATTCCTGCATGTTGGCCTAGAAAGGGCTCTGGAGTCATTGTTGTCAGCTGATCTAGTTTAAAAATAGCAAATGACTCCAAAGGCTTCGCTTAAAATTTTCTGAGAAAGGAAAACATGAAAGCTGCCGGTTTGAAAGCCTGGATTTTTAAAAACTCTGATAATTCAGTGGCAGCCACAAAAGAGCAGGCAGCTCTAATCTTACTTAAAATGCTGTCAGACAGCAGGGACACCAGGCACTTAAAGCTTTACATTCAAGTATCAGTGACTTGCCCTAAATGACTGTTCAAAATAGATATTGGCCCTTTTTTGTTAAAATAAAATAAAGGATGGCTTCAAGGGGCAGAGCAGGCCCCTGTGTCTGTGCTGTAACGTGCTGCAACCGCCGGCCTGGCGCCCTGCGGTGCTTGCGCCATCTTGGGCCTAGCAGGGAACCGAGGACACTGGAAGAACCGGGAACGTGCCGGAGCCGCCACCTTGGAAATCTGTGGAAGAACCAGGAATGTGCTGGAGCTGCCGGCTTGGATCTCCGTGGCTGTGCTTCACAGCAGTGCAGTGCTCACAAAGCCGGTCCCCAGCGTGGTTATGGATGCAGCAGCTCCAAAGGCTCCCCGGGTGTGTGTTGAACAGGGCCCTCCTCATCCAGCTCTCCGCGTGCCACCCCTTTCCTGTTGCTCTTAGTTTTGCGTTCTGCGTTAAACCTGCATCAGAGCCGATTTATCTCTCAGCCCAGTGCTCGTTTGTAGCGGTCAGCAGCCTGTTTTGGGGCAGGAAAGCCATGAGGCAGCTCTTCCCAAATGACGTGGTTGCGTGTTGGGATGATAGTTAATCCGCCACTGTTGAGATCAGCGCCGCTGTTAAGCAACGCGTTGGGAAGCAGTAATGCAGACGGGTGCTTTTAAAGCCCCCGGATTAGTGCGCAGACCTTTGGGACGTGGCTGAGGGTTCCCTCACCTTTAATCCCGATGTCTCTTTTCCAGGCGCAGCTGGAAGCTCAGAGAGCCACGCAGGACTTCCAGCGGGCTACGGAGGTGCTGCGCGCCGCCAAGGAGACCATTTCTCTCGCTGAGCAGCGGCTGCTGGAGGACGACAAGCGCCAGTTCGACTCCGCCTGGCAAGAGATGCTCAACCACGCTACCCAGAGGGTAAGGCAGAGCCCAGCCACGTTTTTGCACGTGTTCCCAGGCCCATGACATGTAGGTAGTGAAGCTATGAGCAATAAGAAGGCCTAGAGCTACACAGTTTGGGCTTTAGACTACTGTGACAGCTAGAGTTCTCTACCAGGCTGTGCTTAGTAGTGAGTAGAGTCTCTTTTTTAAAGAAAAATTACTATTTGTAAAACAGGGATAAACAACATATTAAGGTATATCTGCATTTGAAGCTATTGCAGAATAATTGCATAGGGTTGATTGTTTTTGAATGGATGCATCATGGAAACTCTTATTGTGGAATAACAGGGGCATATTCTGGTTTTAGCAGAGCCTGTCCTCAGTGTGGGCTAAGTTGAACAGGGAGCTTTTATCCTGCAGCCTGTACATTCACACGTAGAATTACACAGGAATGTATTATACTGCCTTTAATCTCGCATATTGCTGCGTCCCGATTTACCTTTCAAGTTTAGGCAAGGCCTTACCTCCTAAATCTAAAGAAAAGGCACGCGTGTAACAATGAAAGGCAGTATCCATTTTAGCAGCTGCCAGGGAGAATTTTCCTGTTGTTTACCATGCCTCTTCTTCTTCTTGCATATTAAAAGAATGCAGAAAGGATTTTTTTTTAAATGTGGAAAAAAGAAAAATCAAAATGGGAGCTAAACCCCTTTGTTCTGTCAGTGTTCCTTGGCAGACCCACGAAGCTGAGCATGTCCTAGGCACACGGTGAGCGCACTGTACACAGCCTCTCTCTGTCAGGCTTAGCTTTTCTAACTCTCCAGCCCGAGGAAAGCACTGAGTGTTGCATCTGAGCTCTGTATCTGGTGGTAGGGGTGGCGAATCAGCCCGTGTTGGTGGCAGAGCCTGGGAGACATCTGCAGTTCAGCAGTGGCTGCTGCCTTTTTGCAGGAATCAAGGAAAGCCTCATCTGCTGGGCTTGCAGCCTGCTGCATCAGGCAGCCTTTTGGCCTGGGTAGAGGCAGTGCATGACTTGTGGTCAAAGAAACGTGGGAGAGGAGAAGCATGATCTGAAAATACTTGTTTGGAAGCTTACTGGGAAGCAGGAATGTGTGTTGTGGTGTTCTGCTTGGTATTTCTCTGATAGGCAGTGCTAATGTTGACAACCTACAGACAGGTAAATTCTTAATCATAGGGGTACTACAAGTTTTGTGTTAGGTCAGGGTCAAAAGGATAGCAACAGGGAGATTTTCAACAGATTGTTCTGTTCTGTAGATCTCTCTAGGGGATCCAAGCAACCTCCTCCCTACCTTAACCCTTCCCTAGCCACCTGTAGTGGGAATGTCCCCAAGATGGGCAGAGCCCCATGAGGGCACACGATGACCACCGCGCTGCAGAACCGCTCGTGGGCTGGTGGCCTTACGTGTCCTTTCTGAATGCACAGCGCCTGTTTGTGAGTGCACAGCGCCTGCTTGGCAGGGAAGTGGTGTCCCCGATGGCCGCGGCCGGGCAGTCGCTTGGAGCCTTGCGGATGCTGCCTTGCCCAGGCTCAGGATACGGAGCTCAATCACACAGGGCAGCTGAGAGCTTTTTGAATGGAAGGAGCGTTACTGTCATCTCCCAAGGTTAAAATAGCCTGGGTAAACCCAGTTCTTAGCAGGAGCATGTTTGCACCTTTCTGGAATACAGCAGATTTCGAAAGACTTGCATGGAAGTTTGTTTCCTGATTTCCACTCTCTCAAGTGGGAACCTCAAGCCTAAGGCCAAGGCCAACCAAGGTTAAAAAATAAAGATATTGTTATAGTCTTGGTAGTTCTGACTGCATACTTGGCATCAGGAAGTGCCTGCTGGGGATTTTTAACTTCTTCAGGAGCAAGGACAGTATTTTCTTGGTCTGAGCTTATGCTTAGTGTTCAGTGAGGTAAGGAAAACAACCGCGGGCGTAAGGAGCAGAAAACATCACCTTTCCCCAGCAAGCTATGCATGAACACAGGTGGGAGGACAAGCTCCACTAGATCAAAACGCTTGCTGGTTGTCACAATGTTTCTGTTAACTCAGATCACTACCTATTATTTACATGAGAAATTCCGAGCTACAACGGATGTTTCTTAAGCTAGGCAGTTAAAAAATATGTGGTTCTCCACTTTTGCATACAAAATCATTATTGCAGAAACCTTCTGCATTTTGGTTGCATAGACATTTTGGGGGGATTTTCTGACTCTTTGGTAGGTATTTGTAAACCACAGAGGTATCGACCATCTTGCACTATGCCTTGCACAGCAACAATCAAATGCAGAAGAGCAACTCTGCGCCAAATGTCAGAAGTGAGTTAATTACTCATTTGTTTCTCTGTTGGTAGAAACGTCAGGCAAGAGTAAAGTGTTATTATTTGCTATTCTTAGGCAGAGGTAAAAGGCCCTATTGAATGTGGCTGAAACTTGGAACACTTCAGAGTAGCTTGGCAGGTGACAAGCAGTGCAAGCGAAGAGCAGGAGGGGAAAGAGTGGTCAGGACAGCAAATGGGACACCTCTCTCATGCGTATGTTTATGAAAATACTGCCAAGTTACTTCTGCTTTTGACCTAACACATGTGGACAACGACTTGGATATGGAAGTGCTATTTAGAGAGACTCATGGGGAGGAATGGAGATAGGAGTTGTGTGCGGGGCCTGCTTTTTGATTTCTTCCTGGACTGAAAAGCTGTCAATACCATTATTTTTAATGTGACAGTGTATAACAAGAGATGAGGCTTTGGTAGTCACTGAAGTGGCAAACTGTCTGATTAGACTTACTAAAAATAGGAGGGGTGCTGCACTTCTGCCTATCCTGGGTGGGTTGGAAGCATGACACATGGAAGATGCTTCTATTCACAAAGCAGGTAGGACCAGAATGAATAGGTAGCAGCATGAATAGGTGTAGGAAGTACAGGCTGTCACTCAAGGGCTTTTTCACCTGGTATTTGGAGCTTCGGTTCCAAAGCAAGCAAGGGAATCTGGGTGCCTGCGTAGGAGCCAGATGCCTGCCTGCCTCCAGAGATGCAACTGATCCCTGCAGGCATCTGTGTTTGAGCTTGGTGTTGTTTATAAATCTGTGCAAAAACAAAGCACTGACAAATGTGGTACCTTGCGTTTGAGATGAGCTGGAGTAGTGGGGGGAAGATCCTGCATGAATTTTGAGAGAAATTGGTGATAATCTAGTTGCTGATGCAGCCTTTAAAAGGCTCTGCTTTTTCTGCGTTTTTCCCTGAAATATGCTCATGAATTGTGGCAGGCAGAAGAAATGTTTTGGCTCTTGATCATGAGGCATTTCTAAGAGGAAGGGGTGAGGGGGAGAGTGAAGAGGGAGGCCGCGCGCTCCCTCTTGGTTTAATTTGGCTCCTGAAGCTCCCTTTGATATTACCCCGTGAAGTGCCATCTGTCAGTGTAAAATGCATGGGTACTTTCCTGATGTACTGAGGAGTGACTGCACATGGGACTGCTTGGAAGAAAAGGAAGAAAAAAAAGCTATGAAAAAAACCAGCAAAAATATCTACAGCCTTCCCTGCCCTGACCTCTCCCTCCAGTAACGCGCAGGGTGGTTTTTGTACCCCCTTTCTCCCCGTGGTCTTGGCAGTGAATTACCAAGGAGGGATGTTACAAATTTTGCAGAGTTACTGCCCCTCGAGTTGCTGTCCCTGGAGAAGGGGACAAGCAGGGCCTGGCTTCCCCCTGGGCTTGTGCAGATCCTGTCCACACAGTGACAGACTCCTCGGAAAACAAGAACCTGGAGAGGGAGGGAGTCTTCCTTACATCCCTGATTCCTGAAGCTGAAAGGATGAAGCGTACAACATTCCTTTTTCCTCCTTCTTTCTAGGAAAGATAAAAAAAAAATGTGGGTGTTCACAGCCGACAGCAGATTCTGTGTTTTGTCAGGTATTTTGAGGTGATTGCAATCTGTATCCTCAGCCCCCAGTTTTGCAGGGTGAAGGAACTTCTGTGATGACAAAAAAGATTTGCAACATCAGCTTGATGCCAGACACCTACCTTGTGTTATGACTCTGGTACTTATCACGTGGTTGATCCTAGATATCAAAGCCCATGCTGGTTTCGCCCCGAGAGGGGATGGGGAGGGTTGATGTGGAATTGAGAATCGACAGTTCCAGCCACACCATTATTTTGTAGCTTGCAGCGTTTTTAAATTTCCTCGCCACACTACAAAGAGCACAAACCTGCTTCTCTGTTGTCCTGGGAGACCCTATTTTAATTTAAGACACTTCTATGCTCAAACCAGTCTTGTCTGACATAGTTTGCTAGGAAAAGGCATTGCATCATCCTGCTTCCGAGCAGTTATTCAAGATGAGAGGCTGCAGCTCGTTCGCAGGATGCAGGGGAGGGTCTGCTGTGAATCTTCCTTTTTCTCTTTTTTTTTTTGACCTTTCTTCAAAATTGGGAGCCTTATTTGCTTATAAAGCAGCTGAAGCGTGTTGGAGTCGAATGAATTATTTTACATGTAATAAAAAGAGCCTTATTCAGGCATCAGAAGGGAGGCCAGCCCCATCTCCCCGCCTTGCACGGTGTGCTGGGCAAGGGAGAGCTGGCCCTGCTTTGCCCTGTGCTTAGTTCAGCCTCAGGGCTAAGAGAGTCTCGCAAAATTAGGACGATTCGTGAGACTGATTAAAAATGTAGGTACTTGGACTCTGTTCCCTCTGTGGCCCTGCAGAGTGTAGGCATCACCTTGTGTGTGGGTCTGGAATAACCCAGGCAGCGGAGCGAGGTGGAGTTGGAGCCACTTGCGCTGACGTTGCCGAGTGTTGGGTTTCGTTGCTGAGGTATCTGGAGAGCCGGTGCTGGACAAAATTGAGTCCTGTCGCTTTCCATAAGGACACTTCATAGTGGCAAGAGAGAGAGCCTGAGAATTGCCTCCGGGCTCTCCCGGAGCCAGGAAGCGAGGGGGCTCCTGGAGGAGGGACCAGGATGACCCCGCTCAATGCAACTGTGCAATTTCTACTGGTGCTGGGACAGTCCCCAGTATCCATCCACGTTCAGAGAGGGATGTTCCCACCATCTGAGGCATTTCTGAACTTCCCTTAAGGGATATTATGCAAGAAGCTGCAACACCTCTGTAGTAATTCATGTTGCACTGGCAAACCCAAACCCAGCAGACTCACTGAAAGCCATTTTTTTCCTTTACTATCTCCTCGCTCTCCTATTGTGAGCAGGTTGGAGAGATTTATGAGGATGCTGCTTATTAAAATGACACAAAATAGATTGTTGTGGCTTCCAACTTACCCTATGTTTTCTTTCCCGAAGGTCATGGAGGCAGAACAAACCAAAACGAGGAGCGAGTTGGTTCACAAGGAGACTGCTGCCAAATACAACGCTGCCATGGGACGGATGAAACAACTGGAGAAGAAGCTGAAAAGAGCCATCAACAAATCAAAGTAGGTCTTGTGTCTGGAGAGGAGTTTGAGGGGGAAGTCTCCTTGTAGGGGGATAAAGATTCATGGCCCATATGGTACCAGAATATTGAATATTTGGCCTTGCAGCTTTTCTCCTTCTCTCTCTAAACATCTTGAACTAGCTGATTTGATAGACTGGTGAACTAAATGGGATAAAGAAAAAAATCTGGGCGTATTCTTAGGTTTTATTTTCCTTCTTGTGGTGAGCCCTTTTGTGATACATAACTTGAGGAACTGGCTTGCAGGGTTTTGCATAGAAGCTCCCTGTGCACCGCAGCACTGCAGAGCTACGCTCGCTGCTGCTTTGCAGCTTAGGGTTTGTCACAGTGTGGTTCTTGTAGCTGGGAAACCAAGGCAGGTGACAGAAACCTAAGGAGACGCCAGGCAGCGTCGGTGGAGCGGGCTGCGTGTCAGACCCGCTTCCTTCCCGGAGCTGCTGTGGCAGGAGCTGTTCTGGGCAGGAAAACACTGCAGACAGCATCACTAAGCAGCAAGGGCCTCTGCTGAATGCGTGTGCGTTTCATGTGCAGTTTGGCTCTCTTGCAGAGAAGTGAAACAGCTCTCTGCTCATAACCCACTTAAAATTTCAGCCTTGTTTACAACCTCTCCTTAGTCCTCCCTGTTTTTCTCTTTTTTTCTCTCTCTCTCCTTTTTTTTTTCCTCCAGATTGTTGCTTGTCTAAACAATCTGCTCACTGCATTTATCTTTTAATCCCTCCTTTTAGAAATGACTTTTGGGGCAAATCGGTCAACTAAAAATGAGTTTTGCTTGGTGTCTTGCTCGTTGCAAGAGCGGATTAGCGCTGTTGGAAGGTTTCCTGGAGCAGCTTCCTGCAGCACTGCCCAGGAGCTGGGAAGCACCATCCAGCAGACCAGACCACTTGAGGACAGGTCCCTCTAGACAACAGCAGCACCTGAGACACAGTTGGGCTGCCAGGAGTGCCTGCCATGTGACAAAACAAGGAGCCCCCCGCTGAGAGAGGGGCCTATCCATCTTTTTGTAACAACGATGGTGCTGAGCATGCTGCCCCACGCACTGTCTTCTCCTTATGTCCTTGCCAAAACCATCAGTGCAGGGAGATTCATGCTGTTCTCCTCAGGACAAGTGGATTTTCACTATTGTGTGGAAAGAGCCCTCAAAAGGGCCTTTTTTTTGCCTCGCCATAGGGCTGACTACAGTACAAACCAACGAGGTAGGTGTTTGGGATGTTCTCTGGTAAGGGATGCCACAGAAGAGAGAGGTTTATTCTAGCCTAAAGGAAGGTGTCTAATGACATGGGCAGATGTTTTGCAGTTATATTGAAGGCTATTTAGGGATATTGGGAATGTCGCTTCTCTCTTGGAATTGCACTTTCCATGCAAAGGAAGGTTGAAGCTGAGCTGAAAACAATAGTGCTGTCAAGTGGCTCTGTAAAGCTGGGAGATGAGCCTCAAATTTGGGGCTGTTTGTCTGGTAGGGCGCAACTCTGAAGAGAGGCGCTGCCTTCTTGCCGATTTCCTTGGAGGAACCGTCTCCCTGCTCGGGATATTTCTGGGCTGGGGGTGCAGCCCTGCCTGAGCCCTGCGGGACACGCTGGAGGAGGCACTTCTTTTCCATGCAAAGCCTGATTAGGATTGCTCTGCGCTTCAGCGCGGATTAAGATGCTGACAGCATTGCTCCTTGAAAATAAGAACACTGGAAGAACATGGGAGTTATTTAGGTGATTTGCTCTGTAAAGATGCTGACTGGATGGCGATTACTGTGCTCATTCTTCATTTATTCAAATTTAGCTATGGAAGTTAGCTTTCCCTACGCGCTTGCAAGCCACAAACGCGCGTGCAGCTGCACGTCCCTAACGTTTTCCTGGTCTGGCAGGCCCGTGTGGGCTGATGTCGCAGGTTAAGCCCCAGCGGAGGGAAACTGAGGTACAGTCGGGCTCTGTCCCTTGGAGTGTCACAGAGCAGCTGCCTCCCTCAGCGCTGCTTGTGGTAGGGGGTCTGATTAAAGGACGCAAGCTATAAAGTGATTTGGCTGCAAGGGAGCTTAAGGAGGGTATATTGCATTCAACCCATCAAAGGGCATGGGCCTGGGGAGCCACAGCTTTATGCTCTTGGGTCCTGGTGCATGTCCACGGCTCTGTCCTGCTGGGACTCCAAGGAGGAGGAGAAGGACGAGATTCTGCTGTCAACTACAAAAAACGGGATTTTGAAAATGGTATTTAGGGCAAGAGACCCATGAGAGATGGATATATCGGGGTGGGGGGGAAGGAAGAAGCTCGAGGGCACGTGTAGGTGTTTCATGATCTGGATCAGCAGGCCCTCAGGACTGCAGTGAGACAGAGGACGGTTGTGTTACTGGTGAGAGGAGAGCTCCCACGGCAGGGCTCCGCGTTCCCTGCGCGCTCCTAACCCGGCTTGTTCCTTGTTTTTCCACAGACCTTATTTCGAGCTCAAGGCCAAGTACTATGTGCAGCTAGAGGTACGTACGCACCGCAGACGCGTCTGACGCTCACCACTGCCCAGGGTAAACGTTGAAATGAAATGTGAAGTGCTCCGAGAATAACTTTGTGGCGTTTCTCTACAAAAGCAATTGTCTGAAATCTCTTATCTCCAGCAATTTACTAATCACACTCTAAAGATAAACGCTGGAGGAGGGGATTTGCTTCCTTGTGTGGAGGAGGAAGGCTCCAGCCCCCCTCCTTGCACCCTGCTCACCAGCACCTCCACATACGAGGGCAGTGGTGATGCCTGCTGCTCTAGGCCGGTGGGAGGGGTGCTGGGCACACATGGGGCACAAACCACTTGAGTATTTAATGGAAAACTGAGGACGAAGCTTCCAGGCTGTTCATAACAAAAGCTCCTCTGATCTCCGCCTTCCTGTTAGCAATTGAAAAAAACTGTGGATGAGCTGCAAGCAAAACTGGCCCTGGCAAAGGGAGAGTATAAGACTGCCTTGAAAAACCTGGAGATGATCTCAGACGAGATTCATGAGAGGAGACGGTCCATGGCCATGGGACCACGCGGCTGCGGCGTGGGTGCCGAGGGCAGCAGCGCCTCCGTGGAAGACCTGTCTGCAAGCAAACTGGAGTCGGACACCATCTCAGGTGAGAGCCCTGCCGGGCGAGGGAGCACCGTGTGGCCTTCAAAGAGATGTCCACGCAAAGGCCACCAGGTGCCTTGCCTGGCCGTGGTTGCCTCATTGCATTTTCTACTGGAGTCTGTTGGGTTTTTCACAGGAAAGGGTGATAAGTCGAAGTGCATCAGCTGTTGCCTGAGCAATGCTGTTGAGAGCAATGAAAGGAATAAAATTAATCCACATACAAGCAAGCTGCTCGTTTTGCAGCCAGCGATGCTGCTGTTAGTGACCTTTGGCTGGGGCGTTGTGGGCTGTGACTTGGACACAGGGCTCTGTGGAGCCTGTAGGGCTTTTTGTCTTCGTCTGCTGTTCCTCAAAGCTTCCCCCTGGAAATGGGGCAGGATCGGCCCTTCCCGATCTACTTACGAAATGCTGGGTTAAGGCTTTGCAAGGGGCACAAACTGAGAGCAGGACAACAGTGCATGGATGTACAGAAGATGCGAAACTGAACAAGGGGAATTCCCTGGAAAGGGGAGGTCGGTTTACTCATTGGAGTGTCCTTTAAACATTGCAGTGGCCTCGGAAGTGTTTGAGGACGATAACGGCAGCAGCTTCGTATCGGAAGAGGATTCGGAAACGCAGTCGGTGTCGAGCTTCAGCTCGGGCCCCACGAGCCCGTGCGAGGTGCCCGCCCAGTTTCCTCCCGCCGCGCGGCCGGGAAGCCTGGACCTGCCCAGCCCCGTCTCCCTCTCCGAGTTCGGGCTGCTCTTCCCGGTGCTGGGGCCCCGGAGCGAGTGCAGCGGGGCCTCGTCGCCCGAGTGCGACGCCGAGCGAGGTACGTCCCGGCCCGGCGCTCTCCAGCTCCCAAGGGGAGCAGGAAAAGCCTCCGTGCTGCCCTGGGCCCCTGGCAGCTCCCTGAGCTCGGAGCCTCCGGCTGCCTCCTCGGGAGGGCAGCTCTCCGACCTCCTCGTCCCACAAAAACGATGGAGTTTCCTTTATTTGAACTCTCCGTCCATCCCAAAGCTGGGGAGGCTTCCCCATCTTTGTCCCAGTGCAGCAGCGGGGCTAGAGGTTCCTCAGGAAGTCAGTGATCCATGGGATTCTGATGGTATGCTTATTTTAAGGGGAAAAAAAACAGTTTATTTATTTTTTTTAATTGCTGTCCTACTTGCTGAAAATCCTGATTTCCAAAACCAATGAAATATGGTGCAAAAGGAACCTCCTAATGCAGGGCAGGCCTTTGCTGACATGTATCGACCGGGGGATTCCCACTGCTCCCGAAATTCTGTATATTTTGCCTAAGGCAGCTGTGGAGGCACCTGCTTGAACCTCACCTTGCAGAGGCAAACGTGGGTTTAACGTCTCTTTTACTCCCTTCCTTGCAGGGGACAGGGCAGAAGGGGCCGAGAACAAGACGAGCGACAGAGCGACCAAGAGCAGGAGCAGCAGGAGCGGCGCCGCCGAGGGGCTCCCCCTGGATCACCGAATGAAGCAGCTCTCCCTGCAGTGCATGAAAATCAAGGAGGGAATATGCGCGGGCAGGAAAGCTGCCCAGATTGGCTGAGTCCTTCCGGGGCCCTGTTCTGCATAATGGGAGTATAAATATTTATCCAGGAACTTCTAAGTGTCCGAAGAACGTTGTGCCAATAAGACATGCCAAATCCTAAGCGTTTACTCCAAGAATTTTAAAACTGCACTAAAAGACTGCTAAGTGGTGGTGAGGGCTGAAGTTTTTATTCAGTAAATCCTTCGTGGGCCGGCCGCGTTGTCCGGCGTTTAAGCTGTGCTCCGATTTCAGAGACTTTGTAGATGGTTTCGTAGCAGCCTGGCTGAAGCAATAACGAGTAACGTTCCCGGGCAGATCCACGCTGGTGGGGCTCAGAAACCTAAGCCAGACGTTTGCAGTGAGCAGTTTGGCTTCAGTTTTGTAGAACCGAAACGCTCTTTAGATACAGTGGATCTTTGGAGTGCCAGCGGCATATTCTTTCAACATCTGTATTTGTCTGTATGATGCTGACACTGTAGAAATATTTTGTATAGAGGAAAGCTGTTGCATGTGCGGGCCTGAAAGCCTTCACTCTTCCCGTGGTGCTCGCAGAAAGGGTGAACAGGAGTCATGCCCTCAAAAACTGGCATGGGAGACGGAGGGAAACAGGGGGGAAACGCTCAGCAGGGACAGGCCCTGCCTGGCCACCTTGCCAAGTCTGGCTTGGACTCCAAGGGTGATTCCAGTGACCAAAAAGAGCTGATTGGCCCCTCGCCCTTCCCCTCTCCTGAGAAGTAAGTATTATTTTTCAGCACTTTAAGTGTTATTGCTCGAAAATGGGAGTCATAGATGCGTTCGGGACTGTTAGGATAACGGGATTCACCCTTAACATATGCATGAAGAAATGGAATTGCCAGTGTAGCCTGACCATGTGTTCTTCAGTTTCGCTGTAGGTTGTTCTGTGTGGGGTTTATCATTGTTAAAGGGACTCGAGGTTTTAGAATGGCCTGGGGAGGGTTCAGTAAGGCTAGAAAAGGCCCGGGCATGTTTGCCAGGAGCTGGTAGGCAGTAGTAGTATCTGGAAATTATGCTAATAAGTGGTAGTAAAAATCCTAGGACTCTTTAAGTTTTGGTGGCTAAGCATTTCTGAAAGCACCATTTTATCTAAAATGTCAGTTTATATTGTTGATTTGATGGGAATTTTAGTATTGCCCAACGTATTTTCTATTCTGTTTTTGCAGTCCGGTTGTATTTTGTCCCTGCCACAGCTTGTGTATCTATTCTCAAAGTTAATGTAAAATTCTTCACACTACAGTAAAGGTTTTTGTTTTTCACGTTTCATTTCGAGTCTGTGCAAGCTACGTGTATCTCGAGTGCAAAGTACTGAGTCTTTTCCCAAAGCAAATTTTGTCCTTAAATAGCCCCTGTCTAATGAAGGTTCCAGAATTCCATGAAACCACAGGTTTACCCCACTTTTCAAAAATCCCTTAGCACATACAAAAGAGGAAGGCGGTTCTATATTATGTAACACCTCCAGCCTGACCGCTGCTCAGCTTTCCTAGAAGACCATGCAGATTTGAAGGTAAGGAAACCTGTCTTCAGGAAAACACGACTCAATACCCGATAGAGTAAGGTGAGGCCTTGAGCCCATGGGGATGGACATGCTGGGGTGACCTAAAGGCTGAACTCTTTGGTCAGCAGCATGTCTCAGCTCAGCAGATGCTTAGGAAAGAAGCACGGGCTCCCAGCTTCACAGGCAACAGCAAACGGGCAGAAATTCCCTGCTGGTATTAAACTGGAAATAATAAGTAGAGAAGTGTTGCACTGTATTAATAGTTATACCTAAATCTGTGTAGCTAAGCTAGTGCCTGTGCAGCAGACTTGTGTTTTCATATATTTCCCCCCTTTTAAAGCCTCCCCTTGGTATCTCCCTGCACCTGTGCACTGATGGCTCTTACCTGCTGCGGGGTACGGATTGCAGGGCTTGCAAACACCCCAGTCTTGCATTCAGCTCCCTGGAGGGTAAAACCCTTGCTCAGCAAGTAGGAGAGGGGGTGGAAAGCAGCAAGGTCCCTTCCTTGCCCCATCTTGCAGGAGCCCATAAAACACCTTGTTTCCAACCTACTCCCTTGGCCAACCCAGCCTTGAACAGTAAATGACACTTGGGCAAGCAAACAGGCACAACTGCAGGGCTAATTAAAGGAAAACTTATTTTATTTTGAACTTCCATAAAAGCCCTAATGATAAATATGACAACTGAACTTAAATCACTTTGGGATACAGGAATATGAGTAAGCTCTTTCCAGTTACTTTTCTGTTAGAATTCCTAAGTGTAATGTGATGGGTACCAGGATGTACCTTCACAGGTATAAAAATAAGCCTCTGAAGTATGAAAGTGTATGTATGTGATCATAATAGGTAGAGTTGTCCTGAACTGAGAATGTACTATAACACAAATGTTAACTCAGGAATTCTACTACTCTTTGGTATTATTACACCTTTAAAATGTCCTTTTTTGACTGAACAATGAGCACTACTGTCTGTGCACAAACTTAATTTGAAATAACTGTCTGTTGAAACACCTAGTTTGGGGCATTATCAGGTGCAAAAACCCCTGTACAAAATAGGTACGTGAGACTTGCATGAAAGAAGGAGGACTGAAGCTGCAGATGATTGATGGGGCAGATGGGAGGGAAGCTACCATGATAACATTCTTCCATCTACTAACTCTCAGCAAATCCTTGAGAACTGGTAGATTGTATCAACTATGGATTAACCCCATGCCTTCCTAGAGAAACAAAACAAAATTGCAGGGGAAATTTTACCCTGAGCCATAACACAGCAGCATACAGTATCCTGGGTGCAACTTGAAGGTAGGGTTTAGAAATGCAGAAGAAGATTGCAGTGCATAAATAAGGCTAATGTCAAAATAGCTCAAGAGGATAGATGCAGTTATCCCTCAGCACGATTCATGCAGGGAAATGCAAAGAAAAAAAATATAATTTTTTCTTGGTAGTAGTCTTCCCTCAGTGACTAGCAAGGAAGCTGTAATCCTCTTAAAGCTCCTGTAGCACCTGCCTTTCATTCAGTCATTTATCCCCAGCCTTGTGCAGTTAGGTCGTGGTGGGAACTGTACCCTGTGTGGCAGACAACAACTGAAGGGTGCAGGATGCTCGCTGGTATTTTGTATTTTAATGTTTAGAAACTGAATTGCCTGGCTAGAGGCAGAGAAGTCTTAAGGCTGAAGCGTTACGCGGTTGTTAACTGTAAGTATAACCCCTAAGTAACTATAAGTGTAACCATAGTGTAAGTAATGGTTATGTGCCTGTAACGAGCTGACTCTGGGACTGTGCAGCTATTGCTGCTGTAAAAGTCCTGTCTCTGTTGTAATTCTCAGGGCTTAATGCAGCAGGTCACATTCTCCTGTCTTGGGGATCAACACCACTATGTGGCACAGGGCAAAGAGAAGCTCGACTTACAGCCGTGGTTGAGGGCACTGCAATTCAGGGATCAGTTCACTCTCCAATAATTTTTCTGGGTATGTAGAAGAACAATAGCAGTACAGTTACTGACAGAAACCAGTACAGCATAAGTGCTAATCCAATTATTTAAAAAAAAAAAAAAGCAAGAAAATTTCATTCCAAAATTACATCATCATAACAAAAAATATAGGATTTATATTAATATTTCCTATTTCTTTGTGCCTGTGAGTTCTCTTTCCTATATATGGCAGGAAATGTGCAGCAATGATTCTCTACCACCTTAGATAGGCTGCAATATTTGAGGAAGCGTTGCTTTATAAAGGACATCATTGATCCTGAAAGTAAAGGTTTGAGTGGCTGGGATGGGCCCAGGTCACTGATGTCCTGTGCGAGAGCTGTTACTGTGCCCTTGGGCAAAGAGCCTTTCTGTGGCATTAGGAAAACACATCCATTCCTTACTTATCAACACGTGTGCAAGTACAGTTGTGATCTGGAAGGGAAACTAAACTTCATGATTGTTTCATCCTATAGTTAAAGTAGCAGCATAAGCTTTGGCTGTTTGTTGTGCTTAAATTAAAAAACAACCCAACTAACAAACCAAAACCCCCCAAATAACCCCCCTACCTTACTGCAGGGCAGAAGGTACCTACAGAACAGCAGCTTTTACTCTAGACAAGTCTTACTAACGTGATCTCAAACAACATAAAAAGTCCAAGTACTTTGTATTGAAAGGTGGCAGTTGGTGGCATCTGTCTTGTATTGTCAAAATTCATCTAAGCTGCCTGTTGTATCTACCTCTAACTTCCACTTTGCAGTTGATAAAATGCATGTAAGGAGTGAACTCTGGTTCAGGCTGAGCTAAAAAGCTCAACACCCACTTACAGGAAAAGTGTTGGGAAGCAAATGGAATTTTGATTTTGTAACAGAGAACAGTCCTTGAGGCAACTTAGCCTCCCCCAGGCCTGTGCCCATGCTGCTCCTGCACTGCTTCGTTACAACCCTCACCAGAAACTCACCTGGTAAGAAGGTGAGTCACAGTGGGACAAACCTGTCCTGAACTCCCTGACCCAGCTGCTATTTGGGAGACCTGCAGTCCGGAACAGCCTGTGTTTCTACTCTCCTTTCAAGCTAGGCACTTGCCAAGCAGCTGCCTAGCGAAGGAGGTGAAACAGAAGGAAACTTGGACTTTTGAGACCAAGCAGTAGCAGACTCCTCTAGGAGTAATTTTAGCACACAATTCCCTAGTCCTTAATTTCTAAATAGCACTTACACTCCAAAATAAATTTAAACTACATTTTTTTCCCTTGAGGAACTGCTAAACAAACCCAAATGACTAAGAACATCTTGGGAATGTTTTAAGATACCGTCTCCCCCAAAATGTCAGATCCTGTGAAGTTACATGTCTGCCACATGATTGCTAAAACCAAAAAAATACTGAAGAAAGTAATGAAAGAGTAATGTAATAGAAAAGGGTGCAGCTTTAAATAGATGGTCACGTGTCATTGGATGAGCAAGCACTCTACTTGCAGGTGCAGCTTAAGTTCTAGGTGGCCCTTCCTATGCCTGTTGGACACTTACAAAATGGACGGGTATAAAAATCTTCTCTAGGGCCCTGATGGTAGCTACTTCACTAACTCTTAGCATCAACAAATGGGACAACTTCAGCAGACAGATAGAGAATCTTATGAGTGCGCCTTTGGTGAGAGCCACCACACGTGGTGCCTTTCACACATGTTCTCCTGCCCGTGCTGTACTGCTGGTCAACTCTCCCCAGTTCTAGTGCTCATCTCTATCAACAGAGTTCTTCATTCTAGCAGGACAAGACAGCCATGGAGTGCCTCGTGCTCAGACCATTCTCTGAAAGCTCTGAAAGTAGCCATAATGTGTATGAAGCCATCATTTTTCTTTTAGAAAGAGCTTATGGTGGGACACTCCAAGTCCTCCCATAGCCTTTTCCGGCTTTACTCCTACATACATGTTATGGACAAGCAATGGTAAAGTCAGCAGGGAGGTTTGATTGTGCTCAGCTCTGAACACCTTCAGGAGAGCAGCTTCTACAATGTTTTGGTCCTGAATTGAGTAAGTGCAGTTCACAAGAATTTTTTTTTCTTAACAGTAAACTTGTAAGAAAAAAAAATCTTAAACCCACATACTCTGTAGTTGAGAAGAAAATTCCATTTTGACTTTTTCTCTTAATGTATCAGGTCCTGATTTGAAGTGTCGAAAATCTGAATAAAGGAAGTCTTGCTTGTTCTTTTGAGTACAAGCATTTTAGCATGTCCACACACCTGTTGAACAGTGCTCACTCTAATTCTGGAGCAGCAAAAGCCAGGGGTAACTGCCTACTGCAATTATTTGACAGGTTGGTGGCTCCATGTTGTTGGCTAAAACTTAAGAGTGCGATTTTCTTTTATACACGTGGAGTCATCTGTTCTCAGGCTGCAGCATAAATCTTAACTACCTCCTTAAGTGGCAACGCACAAACCTCTCTCCTCACTGAAGCTGTGATACCTTAAGAGGAGTGGCACTGTTAAAGTCTAAGAAAAACGGACCCTCTTGTTGAGGCAGGAAGGTGGTGGGGATGATGTTGTAAATGCCAGCAAATATGTTCTCCACTTCCAAGTAGCAAAATCCACACCTAGGATCAAAGAAACTATTGGTTAATTAAGATCCAAAATAATGAAATCTCAGAGGTCAGAAGCAGTAAGTGAGCTATTACCTGTAGTCACCACTATTCTTCTTCTGAAAGCCGGAGGTACCAGGGTCTCCTACTGTTGAGACTGTGACAAGTTCAAAGCCCACACTGTATTGCCTACAAGGGAAGTGACAGGCTGTTACTCGAGGTTTTAGATGATCAGGATTATCATGAAGAGAGAGATTTACTAAAAGCTCTCAAGTAGAACTGGAACACATCTGACAGTTCTAACACATTTGTGACAGAATTGCTAGGCAAACTTATTACAGTATGAAAAGAGACTTTGGAGGAATGCAACATATTTCAGATGCATAGCTGCACAACGTGGGAAATCCCTGCTGGTTTTCTTCCTCTGCACCTAAACAAACCTCAGGTGGTTAAGCTCGTGGTGACCTACTTAAGTCTTGGTGTGATGTGATTGCTTGGGGTGTGATCTGATTGCTATCGGTGTTGGCAACCTCAGCAGCATTTCTCATGGTGCACTATAAAACTCAATAAAAATTTATCTACTGTCTCTTAATACATGCAGCAGTCAGGCACCTTTGCCCCTGTCTGTAAACAAATACGCCCCTATATTTAAACAAATATGAGCTCAAAACCCAGGAAATAAACATATTCAAAAGAAATCATGCAGCAGCAGAGTCCTGCCTTTATGGAAGTGCCTTTACTCATCCTCATCCTCATTTCAAGAGGAAATGACCTCCATCAAGGAGGGGAGAGGATGGCTAGATAGAAGCGCTGCCACTTCAGGGCTCTGTAACACAGCTTTGCAAATACCAACCCAAAATCCCCCCACACAACAACAAAACAATTCCCTCCCAACATAGCAGGAGATGTTACTGATCATATGTTCTGCACGGTTATTCTGAGGTAGAAATTTTGACCTGTACAGGATCTATAGAAGCAATCTCAGTAGTGAGACAACTAGTTGTGAGGAAACACTTTCTTGTGGCCTTTAGTGAGTATCTTTTAACACACTGAAATTTTTGTGTGTGTGTGTTTGTGTAAGATTGCATGAATGGGAGTGTGAGAACTATAAGCCTTAAGCTTAAGTTATATCTATTTTACATTCTGCTTTCCAAGTCTCCCCTTGAAAACTCAATCCTCTTGAGTCCTTTTTATGGCTAGGGTATAATGTGGGGTATACAGGTATGTGCCATAACAATAACAGCTCTGTATCCTTTAATATGAATATTCCTTGAGAGTCAAGGAAGAAACTTTCAAAATAAAAGATACTCTGTAGGGCACCGACGTCTAATCCCTTCCTTCTGGTCTACTAGGGGCAGAATAAAGGGCACAGGATTTTCAAGGATCTTCCTACTACCTTCTGGGAGGACGCTAGGAAGTTTATCCTTAGCACATAATGCCCTGCATTGATGCACTCTTATTTTCTACAAACCTTGGTCCCCGTAGTTCAATTAGCAATGGCCCACTCTTGTCCACCTGAAACTGATAAATGGGATTGTTTTTGTAGCTGTCTCTGAAATTGCCACATCCTCCAGCAGTGTGACCTTTCCACTGGCCGTTAACCTAAAAGGAAAGGACAGAAAGCATTTTACACACTTATGAAGATTTATACTACTTATGTGTACAGACAAAACAAGATTAGACTTTTCTCACTTTCCATGTCACTGATTTTAGTGATCCATCCTCATTAAGTGTGAGGTCAGAATATTTAACTATTCGGAAAACGTACTAGTCTTACACCTACCTAGCTGAAGGCCTTAGATTTTTTTTTTCTTAAGTGATAAATATAGATGCAGAAATATCTATATGTCTCTAACCATGAAAAATGTCCAGTCACCTGTAGGCACATTGTTGTGCCTGCAATGCTGGTTCTTAAAACATATCCATAAGGACAGGTTCCAACAGGACAAATCAATGTAAGGCAAAGAATGCTGCTCAGACTTAGAAAAACAGGCCATCTGTTCACAAGCTCTTTCTGCTAGTCATTAAAATGAAAGGTTAGTCTTGTACGACGTGCCAGTCGTTCACACAAGAGTCTAGCTGAGATACATTCCTTGTGTTACTCTCCCCTGCCCCGCTCCCAAATCAAGCCAGCAGTGAGCAGAAATTTTTTTCAGGGAATTAGTTTTTCCTCTCAGTGTTCAAAATCCTCCAAGATGACAAGCTTGGAAGCAAGCAGCACTACTCTTCGGGCTCCAGGCTGTATCTATACTTCAGTTGAAGGTGTCGCTGCTCAGCTCACAGATGAAATAGCAATAGCCCAGGCCTCTGACTAGATTCTAGTCAAGTTTCTGGCCCTTGCCCCCGCTGCTGTACTCTCAAAGGGCATGGAAATGTTGCCATGATAATATTTGACAGAATGAGTGATTTGTCCAGTGACAACAGTCCTTTGAGATGTCTTACATAAAATGTAAGGACAGTAATGTATTATGGTACTGTCAATGTTTGTCACAGTCTTGGTACTGGTGCCTATAGTTTCCCAATGCTGATTTTGTCCCATAATGCCAAGAATTCTCCCAAGAAAATCACTCGTTTTTCTCAAGAGAAAACAAGCAGCACTTGCAATTGCAGTTGCACAAGCTGATCTTTGCAGAGCAGTTGCATATGACAGTACTGGTTGGTATTCTAAAGGTTAGTCTATTCTCCAAAGGCTTTATAATATACCTGCATTGAAGGCTTTATAATGTATCTGCATAGCTAGTTTTACCAAAAGCTTTTGCACTGAAGATGGCATTTCCTTTGCAGTGAACATGGAACTTAGATACCAAAGAGGATTTGTATGTTAATAAAAGTTAAGGCAGCATCTTCAACAGCGTCAGCCAGCCCCTAACTTTTACCTCAGTATAAATCATGCTTGCAATGCAGTTAACTGTTGGGTAAGTTATGTACAACTTGAGCACAGGCTTGGCCTTATGCTAATTATGCACAAATTGGCCATTCATTAGCTTTGTTCAGCTTCATTTGCTGGGAGATGATCTAACCTGATATTTTTAGGCATCAGAATATATTTAATAACCTTGTACATCTCAACTCTGAAAAAGCCAAAACAGAATTATTATCCAGAGAGGCATAAATAAAAATGTTTCTTTACCCGCTTGGAAACGGTGTAAGGCGTAGGAATCTTGGAAAAGGTAAACTTGCACAAGGAATACACCTGTATTGTAAAAGAAGAAACTGGTCACATTCATCTTGCCCTTTTCATGTGAAAAAAATGAAAAAGTTAAACCTCTTCCCCCTTAAAACAAATCAGCAAACAGCCTTGCATAAGCATCGAGTTTTTAGAAACTTGCTCACTACATGCCCAAAACGCCACCACAAAGGAAATGAGACTAATACTTGGGCTCCAACCACCTTCCCTTCTTGCCTACCCTTTACCAGACGGCAGCTTTGGGAAGGATATGGCACTGGTGGAAGGAGAAAGAAGTGGTGGCTGATCAAAACAGCCAAGGGGAAAAAAAAAATCACACTTAGAGTTGAGTATAAAAGATAATAACTTAGAGAAATCAGAAAACTTTCAATCTTAACAGATTGAAAATAAGCTAATATTGTATACATAGACAGCCAATGCTCTTCCTGGATGCAGATACCAATTTCTTATTACAGGAAATAAAAGTATTTTTCAAGTAATAAGCTGCTGCTTACAATTTTATATCACACCTGCATTGCAAAGTAAGAAAGATAAAAAATTCATTACTAAAAGAATGGACACTTGAGAACACTATATACTTGAGAACACTATTAAGCCCTTCAACATTGCTGCTGCATCACTCATTTCCTTTCTCCCCAAAATGAGATTATCAATGTAAAGTCCACATTTACAAGGAAACATGACTTCTTCTTTAGCAGCATTGTTTAAATCCATTATAAAATCACCAGTACATACCCTGATGGTGTAATGGATAGTGTTCTGCTTCTCGTACTGGGACACCACCAAGGTAAATGTATGGATCCCTGGAGAGGTCAGCTTTATCTTGGTCAGATAATGGGGGCTGTTGATCCGAATGCCATCAATATAGGGAGGAGGATCAGCTGGAAAAGAAAAGGAGGAACACTTTTTCTCATCAAAAAGTCCCCTGCCTCACTAAATTGCTAAGTCATTTTATATTCATGAATTTTGTCAGGAAAAATTGGACTGTTGGTACTAAGTTTAGACTAGAACAAGTGAGTGTTTCAGAAAGAATAGAACATTAAAGATTTGCTCATAAAAAGTATCAAAACCAGTTCTTAAGCAACTACCATTTTCAGGAAAGACACATCACACAAAGGATAAAAATCTGGACTAGAAAATACACCTCAAATCCCATATCTTGCAAGACTCTCCCACCAATGTCTCTACCCTAAGGAGACCTGTGATTCATTAAATAAAACGTTAAGTAAAAGTATAAGGAATCTTTGAGCACTCTTTAAAATTCTCCTGACAAGGAGTCTGTTACAGACATCCCTCCTCCACTAGCAGGACAGTTCCAGAATACAAAGTGCTAAAGCTTTTTCTTTCAAGCATGCTAATTTACTTAATCATCATCCACACTCCCTAAACACAGGGATGCAGAGACAGTCAAAATGCCTGTGATCATGTCTCATACGTAGCTGCATCCCTGTATCAGTGCAACTGCACTATTTACTATAAACATGCTAAATATTTTGCTTTCACAATGATAACCAAGTAATTTGTTATTTGGCCTCTAATTGGTTCTTTGCAGATTTTTTTATTTCAGTGAATCAGGAAGAATTCTAGCCAATTACTTTGGCAGAGTCAGGATGAGGCCTCTTCTCCACAAGAAGGGAAGGATTAATATAAAACAATAAGAAGTTTAAGAATGGGAAAGCCTTGTCTCAGTGCCAAAGGATTAAGCAGCTTTGTTCTGATCTCATTTTGAACAGATGGTGAAAATAATACTGTAGCTTGACAAATCTCTTTCCATGGGTAAAGGTTTTAAACAACTCTGAGTTAGTGAGATTAAAAGTTTATGAAAGAGTTTGGGTAGCAAGGCAAAACATGAGTCATCCAGTTCTTGTTAACAGTCTTACTGAAAGAGTTTCAAGCACAAATAAAACAGTTCACTGTATAATTTTTGTTTGGTTTGCTCACTTAAGAATGTTTGCACTAAAAACAAACACGTAAAAATAAGCACTAGTAACATCAGAAGGATGTCTTGGGCAGCAAGAAGTGGTTGTTTAATAGGATTTTGCAAAAACAGATGATGATTTGTTCAGGTCTCAGATGTTTTCTGCAGAAAGACAGTTTGGGCTCTAAAGGAATTTTTGCAGAATTCACCGAACAAGACGACAATGAACAACTCAGCCCAAACTAGCCCTTCCCACAGAAACATCCCAAAATTCCACTCTTCTTTCAAAACAGCTTTAAAAGGTACTCTAAGCTCTAACTGCTGAAGCTCTAACTGAATCTTAGAAATTCAAGCACAGTACTAAAGAGGCTCCCTATTGCCAAAAGATATAGGCCAAATGCTGCCTTCCGAGAACGCAACTTCACTGAATGAATCCAAGCAGTATTTGCCACTCAGATCTCTACTTGGATCTAAAAAGGAATTCAGATATTATTAGTTCTAGGTTTAAGTTGCAGCCCAAACTGTTCATGCAAGTTGGGCTTTGCATCTCTCTCTTAACTTAAAGATAAAAGCAACCTGTGCCTCAGAGCTGCTATCTGTTTTGAGATAAAACACATGCAACCTTTTTTCTTTTTCAGCTCAACCCAAACTCTAAAACTTCATCTCAAGGCAAGCAGAATGTGACTAGCAATGACCACCACCAGTAGTTTATTAAAAACTGGGCATCTCAACATTAGTCTTAACCACTCCATGCCTGAAGCTGAACACTTGCAACATTTTTAAAATATGTATTTCTTTCATGAGCTTGCTTAGGTGGTTTGCTAAGTCAAGTTCATGTAACAGTTAACATCGATTGTTTCCATTCAGCAGAAGCTGGAAACCTCTAAAGACTTCCACAGAGGTGGAATAATTGTTCTAGTAGTTGTAACCTGAATTGTGGACAATTGTTACGTGATAACCAGAGGCACAATCTCACTTCTAAATATCAACTATTGCCACTACAAAAGAAACAGAACAAGGAAGAAAACACTGTGCCAAAATAAGTATCAGCAGGACCAGGCAGATCTCTTAGCAGAGTTAACTACTTTTATCTCTGCTATGATCAGTTGGGCTGTGGAGATTGTATAAGGTGGTCAAGGAGGACCAAATGAGCATTTCAGAAGACTGACCCTCTCCTATAAGGCTGAGCACTCCAGTTTTAAAGCAAAACATGTGTTTCTCCTTCCTCTTAAGTCTTCCTTCACTTCTAAGCATCATCTTCCTGGCAATTAAGAAGCACTAACCTGGATAGTAGACTTTTTTGCCGTCAGTCTTGTATACAACCATTGTAATGAATTCCCGGTTGTGTGCAAAGTCATCCTATATTAAATAAATAATAAATAAACAGAGAATTGACAAGGGTTTAAACACATCTGTGGAATATAACTAATGTATGACCAGAATGAAGTACATGTGCTATCCCCTCTGCTTTGACCGTCAGGTGGTATGATGCACCCCTTTTACTTATTGAGATACCTAGCCTAATTCTTTTAGAGAAACGTCTGAAATAACTAGACTGCAACTCATTTCACTGAAAAGAGTTCAGGTTTTTGGATGGAGAATTATTTCAGTACAATAAAAGGCTGTCTTTTTTTTTTTTTTTTTTTTTACTTATTTTTAAAATTAATAAACAGGTAGAGGTTGCAAGAGCTACACTCTACATGTCTATGCACTATAACTGGGATATAGTGCCTTCAACAAATTATTATTCTGTATCTATTTCACAATCTTGTATTCACATGTGTGTATCTGATGAATATAAAGAAAATACAGGAAGATAGCAGTACTATCATTTTAAATAATATAAGAGGTATACAGAAACATTTACAGAGGATATTAGAGAAGCTAAAATACAGAAAAAAGAACTAAGAGAAAGAACAGGGCACCTTATCTGTGATATGCCTGCTGAGCAGAACCCAGACTGCAGCACCACCCTGTGGACACTGGACCTCTAGCTTGTACTGAGGATTATTAGCCAGGCTGTAGGCATCCTTCACTGGACCTTGCTTTGCATCCCAAGTACTGGAAGTAATACAGATTCTTTATTAGGTGAGCAAGACATTCATTTACGTTTTGAAATCTAACTCCAAAAATATGTACAACTATATTTTTGTAACAAAGCTACTGTCAACTAAATTTCTACTGGAGTCTATAACACCGCTACAAAATACAGCGGTATAAGAAGCATTATCTTACAATTTTACAGTTATTCCCATGATTGCACATGCCAAATTTAACAGGAAGAGAAAAAGCTCTATGACCAAAATATTCAGTGACGTCTCAACACAACAGCTTTTTTATCGGACTAACCTGTGGATACAAGTAGATTCTTTGAAAAGACTTGGATTCCAGCTCAAATAAATAACATCGTAATACTGGCACAGGTCTTCCCAACAAATCCAGAAAATTCCTACAAAGAAACTACCATTATTGTTTGCTTACCAGATACCTTAATTTTACTTATTTTTCACAAACCTCTTTGCACATAACTCTTTACAGTTTGCCTGTAAACTGTAAAAGCTTATGTGAATCTATGCCTCTGTAAAATTTAGCAGCAAAATCTGCATTGACCCCACTTCTCAATTTAGGATTAATCCCTAAAAGAAACAAGTTAAACCAAGAGAAACCAACTGGTTGGTATCTTTGAGTTTGTATTAGTTAGTTAGTATCGTTCAGTATGGTTCAAAGGCCAGGGATTTTCTGAAGCAGTCGGGGCATTTTGCCTTCTCAAGTACTGGGCAGAAGGCAAGGGAGAATCTATTTCAATCTATTCATCCAGAAACACATCATTATCTGATTCTGAGCTGCCTTGCCCTCTCCTAGGTTTCTGAAAAAAATTAGACATAGTCAAATAGGTTTTCTCAATTCAACAAGCCACTTCAGTCTGCTATTCAGCTGAAGGTCTATCAAACAGGGACAAGAAATGTGTATTATCAGAATACACACTGCTTTTTAAGACTGTTACCATTGTCTATTTTCTGAGCTGTTCTGGGATCAAAGTTTAAGTATTTTTGTAGATCTGGGGTCCAATTTCTTGCGTCATTTTCACTGTATCGGCCCTTCCAACGTAAGTGGCTCCAAGGGTTTTTCAATTGCAGGAATCGAAGGCCCTAAAAAAGAAATAAATAATCAAAATAACTTTGTATTTATAGGAACGGGTCATATGGATAAACAGCTTAAGAAAATAAATTATTATTAAACTTTCTGGAATTTCCCAGTAAATCCCAGATGCAGAAACCAAATGAGTTCTTAGAGATAAGAGAGGAGAAAACAAACAAAATAACCTCCACACAGCAGATACCCATAGCACGCAGATTTCTAATAGGCATTAGGAAACATCTTCTGTTTTACTTGATACCTTATATTCTCTTATATCCAAGACTGCATATGCGTGGGTTGGAACTAAACCCCATTTTTCTCCTTCCTCTTCTGACATCACCCCTGTCGCGGTTGTAATAAGGACATCTCCTTTGTGAAATCTAGTCAGAGAGAGGCCAAAACAAACAAAAGCTTAATTAGAATTTTAGTACTTGTAAACTAACCAGGCATTCTAATGGGGTATTTTTATACTGCCCATTACTGAAATCTTGTTTCATAAAGACTGGCTTTTTTTTTTTTTTTTTTTTTTTTTTTTTAAGCAAAAATAACTCCCAAGAGAGTCTGAGAAAGTAGAATCATTTCAAGTGTAGGCTTTAAATGGTAAAAGACTATTTTCATTATATAAAAAAGCATTTTTTTTCATTATACAATGAAAACAGTGTTTGTCAAACCTGAAGTTTAATCTGTGCCACTTATTAAAGACAGGCTTTACAGATCTTTAGCTGATCATATTTGTGGTTTCATCAACAACATGTTATTCAACACATTATTCAACAGAATACCCTCTTCGATGCCCTCGAGACGAGAAAGCAGTAGCACAAATCAGATATACTTCTGAAAGGAGCAAAGCACTTTCTAGCTCAAATGCTTAAGTTACAGTTATACCTGTTACCAGAAGTAGGATTGTTAGGGTAGATATGAAAATCAGTACTGCAGTTTTGAGTCTATCTGTCCTGTACTTCAGAAGACTTATTAATAGGACACAGTTACCAAGAGCTTGGGATGTGATCAGAAATACCATACCTTTGCATAATGACAGCAGAACAGTGATCAAGTTCTGAGAAGTGCTCTGCCCACCCATCCTCCTACTTTTTAACATTATTCAACTTGCACACTAATTCCAACCTGCTCTTCTGACTTCACATTCTGTTTTCCTCATTAACTGGTAACTGAAGAAATGGGCTATTTTTTTCTTTTTCAAAGTGGTGTCTCAAAAATCCTCAAACTTTTGATCTTTGATTCTACCAAAGTTCGTAATACCTCTTTTTTTTTTTTTTCTTTCAAAAAGACAAGCAAAGCAAAGTACTCTGAACTGGAATTTGTGGCAGTTCCACAACACTAGCAAGGGATCTGTGGTGACTGTACTGCTTTTGTATCAGTAATTCAGCTACTGCACAGTAAGCATTTTGATTATTTCAGAAAGAACAAACTTCTACCTCTGATACAACATTCTGAAAGTACTGTCTTTATTGAAAGCTTGATTGTCAGAGTGCATGGCAATCCTTTCAGGTATCCAACCAGTCAGTGCATGGAGGTCGATATTCTGAAACGCAAGCATGGAATGAAATCATAATAGATAACTCATCCATAACCATATGATTCCTGTAAAAGAGAAATAAAAGTACCTTCAAAGCATTCAAACATATGCTTGAAAGAGAGCTGAAGAAGTAAACTAATGTACTGAAATTTCAAAGCTGTGCATGCATAAAAAAATAAGAAAAATGATTAAACATGCTCAGTTCTATGATGTGTTCCATTTATTTCTTTGATTCATGGCCTTTTAAAGTATATTCGCAGAAGCACTATTTGGAATCTTGCTATAATATATGCATTTTTAAAATAATTAAGTTTTACTTCTAAGGCTCAGGATATGTGTTCTTTTTTCTTTTTGATAAAGCTAACACTGACATGCTTTTCAAAAAGGCTTTAATCTCCCCATTTCGTCTTCATGAAAAGTTACTTCCTTCCCCCTTTTTTTCTGCACTCCTCAAAGCAAAAGCAGAGACTATAAAATGCTTGAAGTGTCAGTGACTGTTACCAGTAGGTGGGAACTTGGGGAGCTACATGTACAATACAGCCAGGAAGTCATTTTTTTGCTTCTAAAAGAAAGCAGAGGGGTCGGGTGGGGTGGTGGTCAGAGTTAAGTGACACAAGTCAAACTGTTTTCTGGATAGCAAGTCAGAGGACAGAGAGAACACAACAAGCTACTGTCACCTCACCAGATTCTCTCTTCCCTGAAAGCAAGCAGCCCAGCACAGGAATATGCTTACATGAAAAATGCTACAGTCACCTCTTAGGCAAGGCCATAGTTGCCTTGATAATCTTATTTCAGAAGGTGATTATCTACAATACCTTCAGTGAATATGAAATGAATGGTATCTTGATAATTCACTGTCCCATCTAGAATGGGAACTCCATCAGAAAAAAAAGCAGTTTTTAAAAGTTTAGGAAGTATTTCTGATTTTTCATTTGAAGCAGTGAATAAAAATTATAGAGGCTACTCACTTCAGTAAACTAGGCTTTTAAAAATAGTATCTTGCATGTCAGCCTTGCTGTACCACTATGACTTTTTCTTTAGTGGTTGTATTATGTGAAAATTTTTCCTGTTTTTATAAATGAGTGAAAGAACTTGGTAAATAGTAACTTTCACAGACAAACATACCTGTTCCTACTGTATACCTGAAAAGACTAATTACTCTGTTCCTTTCTTAGTTGACTCCCTCCTGATGAGCAAGAATTGCTGATTACTCTATTTTGATGGAATTTATCTGACGAAGCACAGTTAAGTGCAGACACATTGGTACAAACACAACAACCCCCACCCGCACGAGTCAATATTAATCTGCATAAGCAATTAATTTCACCAGGATGAAATTTTTTTTTTTTTTTTTTTTTTTTTTTAATCCAAAATGATTTTTTTTTTTTGCCTTTGCTAGAAATAATCTAGTACTTACAGAATTTGATCCAGGAAAGTCATATCCTCCCATTACCTTCATGTAAGCCTTTTCTATTAAGGATACCCATAATTCATTTTTATTGTTAGAATAAGAGCAGAGAAGTTCTCCATTATGATCAACAGGTAACTGGTCATCTATGATAACCTGTGCAAGACAAAATATATGAAAACCATCATAAAGGTAATAATGTTTTTGAAAAATAGATATCTTTGAAGAGATAATAAAACCAAAATGTCATTAACATGCAATATCTGAGACATAACCAGACCTGACCATTTTTCCTCAGATGTGAATACCTCTCTCAATCCTGCAGAACTGGACATGGTAAATTCTACTGCCAGCTCTTTCACTGGTTGCTGAGTGAGCTGTGATCACCTGCCTCAATTTCCCTTATGCAAAAGGGGATAACGACAATCTCTCGTAAACTGCTTTAGCATCTATTGAAAGAGGCAGCCACAGAGAAGTTCAGTGTAACTTTAAAAAAAAAAAAAAAAAAAAAAAAAAAGGTAGAGAAAAGCCTAACAACATCCCTCACCTAATTGGGAAACAGAGCACAGACTACGCTCTGTAGCCGGCAGAAAAATAAACAGTTATTATCTAAAGGGAAACAAACTATTTGTCACATCACTTTCATAGTCTCTAGTTCCAGATTTATATTTCTTCTCTCTGGAAGGGAGAAAAAAATCAAAGAAGCGATTGTGAAAGAATTAACATTTCTCCTTTAAATTAGGCAGAATCTGCTCAACATCATAACAGACTGTTACTACGTTATTTGCAACGGTCTGAAATCATTCCCCAAAACAGGTGTTTCGGTCTCACACTGGCATTTGTCTGTCAGTAACACACACTACCAAGAAAACACATTTTCTGTTCAAGTACTACATATGGAAGGATGGATAAATCTATTCACACAACAACAAAATGGCTGTTCAGCCTAATGACCCATCTTGGACAGCAACCAGAAATAAGTATTTTAGAAAAAAGTATTATATAAATATATAAATGATAATTCCTTGAAACACTTTCAGATTGCAGAATTTTTCATCTCAAGACTTCCTGAGCAAGAAATTATATCTTAGCATTTGATGCTGTTTTCCCCATGAATACAACCAGCCAGTTTTTGAAAACTCAATCCTTATGCATCTGCAACAAGTACAGTTACACAAGATATACATTATTTATGTCCTTATTTATTGTACTGAGAGAAGGTAAAGCTGTTCTTGAGTTTCTAAAGTTCTATCACATCCTTTCAAGTATCTCTCCATACTAGAAGATCTTTGGTCAATTTAGCCATTCCTCTGTGGTCATTCCACACCTATGCTCTTCCCAGATATCCCTCTCTGAGCTTTTTCTAGTTCTATTATTTCCTTAGTTCTATTATTTCCTTTCTGAAATGGGGCAGAAAGGAGATTATTTGTGCTCCAAATGAAGACACACCATAAATTTATACAGTGGTGAAGAGTTATTTCCCCCCCACATATCCCTTTTATTTTCTCTTAGGTTAGTTTCAGAATTCCCTTAAGCATTGTAAGGAAATGAGTTTAATATAAGTGAGTAAAGTTATTCCAGTGAATGCACGCAGAAATAATACTCAGTCTAGTATATAGAATGAAATCAGAATTGTTACCCAAGTGTAACAGTTAAGCATCTCTTTAACAAAAACTTTGAATCATGTTTTGTTGTTGTTGTTCTTGTTGGCGATAAGCGTAGATTCCCAGTGAAGCAGAGTGAGCCACTAAAATACATGGCTTAAACAGTCTTAGTTTCCTCAAGACCATTTACCTTTCTAGGAACACCATTGATATGAAGTTTCACCATGTATTTCCCACAGGGATTATACTCTGGTTCACCTTTCTTATTCTGAGGATAAATTATACTGTTGAGGGAAGGGAAAAAGAAAAAAAAAAAGTAAAGAAAGTTATGACATAAATGGCTTGGCCGTAAAGGCACCCCCCCCCTAAAATCCAGAACTATAAACCTCACAAGACCCACATGCACCTCCAAATGGCGTGGGTAAAAGGAATTTTCAAAAACAACACCAGCACTCAGGTCTTGCAATGGACTCCTCACAGACAGTCTGTCAAACCCATGATAAACTTATCACAGGGCTCTAGTTAAGCAGAATTATATCTGCAATAGTGTTGTTAATGTTAATTGTACAACAAGATACAAGATGGACCCTCTGCTGCGCAGCAGTTGGCACAACAAAGTAGGAAAGCAGGTCTGTAAAGTTCTCTAAGTAAAATTTCTATTAAAAAAAGAAAAAAAACCCTAACCAACAAACAAAAACTCTAAACTATTTATTCTCCCTAAAACTATACCTTGACTTTGTATGTATTTGTACTGCAATACTGCATTACACATCTACATAAACTTACCTTCTCTTTCATGTGTTAAAGCCACATGAATCAGCCAGGAAAAGTAGAAAGGGTATTTTTATTGACCTGCCCAATGATTTAGCTATGGCACCTCAGCTGAAGTTAATGAAAGCTGAGAATACTAACCCAAATATTTTACTTTGACTTAATTAGAAATATTGTGTGTCATCATGAGCAAATTTAATAGACATCAATTTAAACATTGCCCTCATAAACCATACTCCAAAAATCTGGCAGTATTAAGACTGACAAAATCTTAGAAAAGAGAGACATTTACCTGGTAATCAACTTTTTGTTGTATCTTCTTTCATATGCTGCACTGATAGCTAGTGATGCCACAAAGGAACAATCTGACACTATAGTCTGTGAATAAAAGAAAATAGGAAGGACATTCACTAATACTTAGATATTGAAAAATAAGCGTGTCATGTGGAAAGAGAAGTTGTCATTTAAGTAGTTCCCTCTAAAGGGAAGGAATTTGACCCAAGAGATGCAAAGTTACTACTAAAGAGGCAAGAAGATCATACTTGCTCAACAGGGCAAGGTAAAATTAGAAGATGTACTAAAGATCACCGGAGACAAGCAGTGATATCTCAACCCATTATCCATATATACTTAACCCCACTGTATTTTTGCTAGAATTTTTGCTAGCTATTTTTGCTATACACAGAAGCCCACTGTATTCTGATTTTCATATATACCATTGACATGTTTTGTCATGAATATCAGACATGTGGAATCTAGAGCAATAATATCTATTGCTTTTATTTATTATTATAATTCATTTATTCATTATTATATTTTTATTAAGTTTATATTTTTATTTATTATTATATTATTATTTCTTATTATTATTTATTATCATTTATTATTTATTTAATGAGTGTTTATTTTCACCTTTAGAAGGCTTTCTGCAGCAAACATCACACACTTCTCTTTAGGAACAACTTACCTGCTTTATGCTGAAACTTGATACAGTATAAATCATCGTAGGGTTATTGGTTATATCATCTGGTCGCACCCACTTGGAAAACATTGCTTTCTGTTTGGGGGATAATGGTAACTTGCCACATTTATCACTAGATTCAAGAAAGGAGAAATAGCAATAAATGAATCAACAGTTGAGAAAACGTCTCATGGTACATCTTCTATAGCTGGTAAGATTGCAGAAAACATGTAAAATAGTTTCATAGTTTCGTAGTTGTTTTACAGCTGTGCAAATAAAGAACAATGCTGGAAAAAGTGGCATTATTTAAATATCCCCAACTTGAACTATGATAAAACTCCTACTTAAACTATTTGAAGCCCTAAAAGAGAAAACTTAACCATGTAGGATATGGAAAATAAATAGAAGTGCAAGCTTAGTAACTGAACAGCACTTACGAAAATGGCAAAGGGAAGGCAAAACGTTCCCTCAGATCAACACTCATGAAAGGGACATATTCGATACCATTGATTTTTGAAGTCTTCCTGCAAGGAGCAAGAGAAAAATACTGTTACAAACTTGCACTCTTTAAAAGCTGAGAATAAAACTTAAATGTGAATGTATTTAAGGTTTCAATTATAGCCAGAGTCAGGTGGAAAAGGTATGTGAAACATTTTCAAAAGATTTCTTTGACTAAAGATACAAAACAAGCTGAAGTTCTCTGGCACAGCTTTAAAAACAAAACAAAACACAAACAAAAAAAATCACCCCCTCTCCCTGCAACAAAACTAGGAATACATGATACACCAACACTGTAAGAGAAAGAAGGGAAAATTTTGATTAAAAGAATTTTTACTGCTCTGCAACTTCATGCACCTGAACCCATTATGATTTTATTTGTTCTGCTTGTAGGAGGAGGAGGAAGGTGGAAGCATTTGTCAGACAGTATATTCAAGATATTTGATAAAGACTTCCAAGTTCACAATTTAGGCTAAAAGTTTTATTATTTGTGACTTATCCCATCTCTAATAAGTGCACAGCAAAATCATTCCAACAGAAGGCACAATCCTGCAAAATATTAAGTTTCCTCATTTCCAGTGAAATACATACTTTTGTGTTAGACTTGCACACATGGCAATACTTGAGAAAAATTGTCCTCATCTTACCTGAGTACTTCAATCTCCTCTGCAGTGTATCTCTGACCCTGAGATTCAGTAGCTTGCACTGCTCTGATTGTTTGTGGTTTATCATTTAAAGAAAAATCAGGTCCCAATGGAAAAAATGTTCTGACTGGCTGATTTGGTTTAACTACAGTTGACTTCTCCTTCTGCGATGACTTTGACATAGATTCCTTCAGTGCCTCAGCTCTAAAACAAAAACACATTCTGTTTACAACATTAAACATATGGTTATTGTTCACTTATTCGCTAGTTCACGCTCCTGCATATGCTAAAGTGGATTAACTCATGCCCACTTTGTCCAGTACCACTTATCCAAAGAAAATCAGTTCATAAAAAGCATGACGGAAGATAAATGTTCAGAAAGTCCAAATGTCAGTACCTCTTTATTTTAGTGTTAGAAAATCCTGTATTTTTATTGATACTGTTTTACTTATAAGCTACTTTTGGCAGAACCTGTGCCTCCCCCACTTTGCTATGAGCCAGGCAGAGAGTGATAACCCACCTTACTGTTGCTGCAGTAAGATGACAGCTAGTCAGGTATATACAAATCGATTCACTGGTTTTGAACACAGACTGAAATGCACTCAAAAGCAGCTTGTACTGAAGCAGCACAGAGGCTAGTATCCTAACCTCCGTTACACAGCCCATTTAAAGAGTTGTACCCAGCTTGCATTTGCGTAACTGGTTTTAGCAACACCACTCACCTGACACTTACAGAGCCACCTTTAACCTACACGTTATCCAGTCTCCAAGATGCCCTCATTAAAAACAGGAGATGCTGACACCCTGACTTAGTGCTGGCCTGAATCCACATCTTTACAGAAACCAAAAATTATAACAGACAATAACAATCTGTATCTCTGAACACTAAAGTGGTGCATTGGTACTGAAACACACATAGTCCCTCCCTAATTTGGCACACGTCATGGTCCCAGAAGACTGACCCAACAGTGACTTTTCCAGCTGCAGAGCAGCTAGCAGTTAGCTACCAGAAACACATTATACGAGCTGATTATAGACAGAATCCTGCCTCTTGGCAGCAGAAAACAGACAGACTGGATTAGATACTTCGATTTGTAGCGTGCATTTAATCTTGATCATAAATACTCATGCTAACGTTGGCTGTACTCACCTATCCAGTGCTTGCCGAGCCAGCTGTTTTAGTTTTGACTGAAGGCCAGTTTCTGAAGTTTCAGTAGCCTTCAAAGCAAAACAAAAGAAAGAGCTATATGTTGGAAACACACAAATTAATAAAAGAGAAATCAACCTGCCAGATTCCACACTTGTAAATTACAGCACCAAACAATAACTATTTATTGTTTCCAGTTCTCCCTTGAAGTTACTAGATAATTTTTTTATTGTTGGCATAAAAAGGTATATTTAGTAAATGAATATAATTTTGCAGTTCTACTGAGCATTCACTCACATTTTGTTAAAACAGTACTGAACTTAGTTCCATTCCAATTCCACCTCCTATGTCAAATGAGTCAAAAATAATAATGGAAATTTACCACAAAATAATATGAACTTCATGATTTTCTTAATTAATAATTAAAAAAGAACTTCTCCCAAAATTAAAAGTCTCATTCTTGCTAACTTCTATTTTCAGTTCGGCAGTCAGCCATGACAGGTTAGTCATACAACCAATTTACACTTCTGTTTTTTCTTATAAGTGAAGCATAAGCAGTTTGCAAGAGGCACAACATGGGATTTAGCTTGTCCTGGGACACCCATAGGCAGGTTTCAGGTTTTAATTTTGTACCCATCACACACTCTCTCCAATCAGTTAGGTCAACTGTGAAAAGTGATAGGCAAGTGACTTACACTCTGTGAAACAAAACTAGAAACACCCTCTATAAGAATTTCTAAGCAAATTTTTTTGTGATCTGGAGAAAAAATAGATGCTGAGCTGGTCTTGGCTAGGAAAGACTTGGAAAACTGCACAAAGGTAAGCAGCAGATATAATGGCCCAGCAGACTTGTCCAGGAGATAGCTACAGAAGAAAAGGAAGGGCTGCTCTCCAAGTACTTGAGTAGGAGTAGGAAGAAGTACTACAAGTAGGAGGAAGAGACAAATCTCTCCACCTGAATAAACTGATCAGAAAGCAGGACATAAGCAATGCTTCAGGATAGGAGAATTCCTTCAATCTTATTTCATCCTGGGAAGAAGACGGTAGATTTTGATGCACATGAGGGATAAAGCCTACAATGATTTTATCAAAATAATATGATAGTCAAGATTAAGAGAAACTTTAGCAGAAACTGCACCCAGTGAAAGGCCAGTTAAGAGTACATGTTATTTGACCTAATTTCAGATTAGCCAGTATATGCGTAAGTAATATTTGCATGTACGGATGCAACAGGAGGAACATAGCAGAGGAAAATAAGTACAACACCTAAATAGGTTTTATGTAGTAGATGAAAGAAGGTCTGATCTCACTAATCAAATAGAACTACACTAATTTCATGAGCTCTTAATCTGGTTACTCTGTATCAGCAGATTTTGAGCCAACAGAGAACCAGAAACTCTGACTACAAGAGGGTTTTTACCCTAGTTTGTAGCAACAGGATTGTTCCCCTCCCAATACCCACATATATTTACATTCTCAAAAGGGAAGAGAAGAAGAAAAAAAAGACTTGGTGGAGTTACATCATGATGGTGAACTCTTCCTATAACGAGTTAGTTACGGGAACTGGTCTTACCAGGAAAAAAAAGGTAGTACCTGTAATTATAATGCTATAGCACTCACATAACAGCCAATTTATCTGTAGTCTTTATCTCAGCATGAACTGACCTCATTCATGGTGGCTTTAATGTTGAGCAGTGAATAACCAAGTACCATTTTTACTGGTTTTGGCATCAGTGGATGATTATATTTTTGGAAAGTATTACTCAAAAAAATTTTCCTTAAGTAATTTCCTTTATCACATTAAGAAAGTAACATAGCTGACACATTTTCAAGTCATGTTCTTCAGTTCTGTTTTAATGTTTTTTTAATTTAAAATTTTAAAATTCTATTTTGTCTGGGAGCCAGTGAGATGCTAAAGTAAAAAAAAAAAATCCAAGGCTATTTTTAGGTTTTAGTATAATGGGGTTCAGAGGAAATAAATCCCAACTCCCTGTAACTTCATGGAAGTGAGTAACAGCACCTCATCAAGATTGGAATAAACATTAAAAAAAATGGAAAAAAAACCAAAAATAGTTTTTAAAAATACAGGTACTCTATTTTTAGGCCAGCCTTTAAGGGTCAGTTACTTTTGTAAGTGGAAGAATTTCTTACCATCACATAATTCCACCAAGTTAACTTGTAGCTTAACATACTGTTTTCAAACAGAGTTCCACCGCTTCTGTGTACAACTCTATGGCCTCTTCTGCGTTGCCTTTGTCATCTTCATCAAAAGCCTGTGTAACTAGGAAGTGAGCCCGCTCCAAGTCCAACTGTTGCTTTGACTTCAAAGGGTCTGTGTTCTGTGACTGAACTAGATGAAAATGAAATTATCTGCTTTGTAAAAACATCCATAATAAGGTACTGACACACACTAACGCTTCTGATTAGATTGGTAGTATCTATTTTGGGGCTGGAAACTTTTGCTAAAGACATCTTTGCAAGGACAAATTAGTAAAACCAAGAAAACAAAATCCCTACACAGAACAGAGATATACTTTCAGGATATTTCACATAGAAATAACAAAGTAAATAAAATAGCTTTCATAAACATTAAGGAAAAAGTTATTATGTAAAATACAGCAACATTTTTGAAAACACATCACTTGCTGCAATACCTGAGTTATTTAGGCATCTATCTCTTTTAATATTTTTATTAACAATCTGAAGAAGAGAGAACAAAACCTCCACAAGTTTGCAGATCACAGCAAACCTAGATACAGTAAACATACTTCAGGATACAATTGCTATTCAAAGAGATCTAGGTAAATTAAACTAATGGGTTGCCAGGAACCTCCTAAAATTCAACAAGGGCAGATGTGATGACACTGAGAACACTATAAAGAAAGAGGGGGAAAAAAAAGAAAAAAAAAACCAATCCAACAAAGAAAAACTCATGGATTTTATAACAAAGAAAAACGGACAGTGGGATCCACAGAGGATGGGGAATTTCTGCCTTCAAAGCTTTTCAGAACACAAGCCTGAGCAACCTGGTCTGAATTCAGTGCTGAGCCTGACTTGAGCAAGAGGTTTCTCTAGAGCCCTCCTGAGATCCCTCCCAGGCTCAGTGATCCTGTGATTCTAAAGGAGAATTATGAGAATTTACAAGAATTGGTGACTTTGCTCTAAGTACAAATGTTGAAGCAGGACAAAACAAAGAAAGCCTAGTGACAGCAAACAATTTCTCCCTCTCAAAGTTAGTAATTCCATATAAAAGCCAGAATCATCTGCTTCAAATTCAAATCCATTGTGCAGCTGAGTCTTAGATGCAACTATTGATTTGTTCCTGGTCTTTTTTTGTTGTTCCTATGTTTGCTGCATTGATGTGGCTCCTAATAATGTTTAAAAGAAAATCAGATCTGCAATAAAGTCCTTAGGAAGTCACTATGTTTCAGCGTTTCATTTCTCAATACCATGGTCTTTCACAGAGGACGATATTTAAGAAAAACAGAACAAACATCACAATTATACATTTCACAGCACCAAAAAAGCTTTCTACTCAATTAATTAAAGCCAAGGTTGATTAGAAAGCTCCTTACCCACCTGCTGAATGGAGGGCTTGAACTCTTTCCAAGTACTCATTTATCTTTTCTTGAATATTTTCCAAGTTTGACCCTGCCATCCCAGCATAAATTAAGGCTTGTGCAGCTTCCTGGAGGGAGAAGTTGAAACATAGTTAATATTTGCTGATTGAAAGCAACTTCATATAAAATTTGCTACTTGAAAACAGCAACTTTACATAAACTTGAGGGTCTATAGGCATAACGGACTGTATGAAAGCAAACCATTTGCTCAATGTTTTTTAGGAAAACCTGTTGGAAAAGAACGAGTTTCAAGTCATAAATGAGACTGATTCTTCTCTGTTAAATTTTGAGCACGCAGGACAACCTATAAAACTGAAATAGATCTCTTTAGATTGAGCAAAAAAGCCATATTTCCTGCATTTAATCTGCTAATACGTGAATCAATATAAAGTTTTTTCAGACTAAAATGCATGAAGTCTTCATTTAGAAATCACTTTTCATTTGAACAGCCAGCATAAAGCTATCAAATCTTCACGTTGTACAAAATTTAAGAAGTTTGCAGCTTCTCAAACTTGATTTTTAAAGGTTTGCATGCATACTAAACACCAGATATTGTCAGAACCTTACTTCCAGGAGGCAGCATAAGTCTCCAGTGTGGAAGTATAGTATGTTAGCTGCATTAAAGCTTCTTCTGTACTGTATAAATTTATTAAGGAAATATGATTTCAATTTTCTAAGCTCTATAACCATTCCCTGAATTCATGAAAAATACATGTGGTTAGGCAGGCAAACAAACAGCTCAGGGCTGACTCAGTTTCAGAATCACAGAAAGCCGAGTTCTCTCAACCCCTCAAATGATGATAAAACATCTCATTTTGTCCTCATTCTTTGCATCAAAGTGCCCCACTTTCATGGCAGCGCCTGCCTTGCCAACAGCAGCAGAACAGAGGCAGCAATGGTGCAGGCCAAGCACGTAGGAAGTCGAGCAATAATGCGAGGGAGCTGCTCCTCGGAGCTGGTGATCAGAAAGGCTTCTCAGCAGAGAGCAAGGCCAGAGCCAAGGCCAGAGAGCCTCGGAATTAGGCATTACACACTCCCTGTCAACATCTAGCACTATACTACATGATATAAAATGTGTCCACAGCAACACAAAGGTAGAGAAATACTGTTTCATTTATATGCAGCAGTTAAATACCATTAAGGCCGAGCATACAGCTGTCCTTGGAAAAAACAAAGCACTTGCAGGAATCTGCTCAAAGAATGATGTATTTGTCTGCAGCATACTGCAAGTACAGATGAAATATGTATTGTATCATAATGGTAAGCTGTTTACATATAATACAAAGAACCAAGGTGGATTTTCAGACTAAGGCTACGAAAAAGCAATGCATAATTGATGTTTCTTCTGTGATTTCAAGCACAACTGCTTCATACCATTTTTAGGAGGAGATATAGGGGGAAAAGGTCATTTGTGCATTAAGCTTCTAAAGAATTAAAGCAGTCGACTAACTGCTGAGAGAAGACTGAAGTGCAATTCAGCTGGTATTTCCAAACTCCTCAAAATCACTGCTCTTTGCAGCAATAATGAATGTACCACAATTACACTAATCTAACTGCTGGTTGACAGTCAAGCTTGGTAATGTTCTTGAGCAGTTTTTCTGAGGTCAACAGGTACTACCATCTTTTTATGGCTTTTGCATACAGTACCCTCAACAACAGGGTCATGCTGTTAACTGAAGCTGGTTCATACACAACCCTCCTCTACAGTCTGTCAAAAATACACTATAGTGGAAAATAAACAGTGCTTGTTGGCCTTAGAAACTCCATTCAGACAAGACATGACCTTCTTATGTCAAGTTCTGGTGGGAACAAGCTCAGTAGCCAAGCTCCCTCATGTCTGTACTAACTGTAGCACGAGAGCACATCGGAGTGTTCGGAGCAGTTAGTGACTGGACTGAGTTTACTCACATTGTTCGAACACACATAAGACACCTCCACAATCCTAGGTCCTATTCGCAACTACTTTTGTTCAGTCTCAAAGTGCCAATGACTCTTCAAGCAACACTTGGAAAGCCAAACCCATCTAGTATAAATTAGGTGCAAAGAATTCAAACGATACATGCATTCTTGCTCAAAACATACAAAATACACTTGATTGATATATGCTGAATTTGCTCTCCCCTGTCAAAATCAATTGAATACCAATGCCTTTATGCGTCAGCTGGCGCAAGAGGTGATACTTGCCCTTGGATTGCCAAGAGCCCCCTGTTTGGATACCAGAAATGCTCCCTGCAGAGATGAGTGCTTCTTTGCACAACACAGTGCCCACCCTGCTCTGCAACCCAACTTCTCTAAATCACAGTGGAGTTGCTAGATTAGACTCATGTAACTTGAGGCACACCAACACTATTAGAGATGCATTTTTTGCCCTTAGCAAGAATATCATGCACATACAGCATGTGAAAAAGATTTTCCTTGCACAAAAATTGTACGGAAATAACTGTTGGCACAATAAAAACTATTCTCTTCTATTGGGTAATTTTCTAGATATGCTAAAAAAAAAAAAAATCCGTAATAAGCGGTTGCACTGTGCACAGCGATCAGATCACGTGTTTACACTTAGGCAACCCGTGCTTATCAGTGTTTACTTGTAATTACACCTCATACATACGTGTACACACAGTGTTTAATCTCATGGTATGTCTCCCTACATCAAAAGCTGAGTTATAAAAGACACTGCCCTTCCCATTCTGTCACAGTTTCCCTTGTGCCTCATGCACAAGTCCACTGTTTAATGGTAAGTTAATGGCAGAAAATTACTTCAGCAGAAAAAGAAATATCTCTAAAAATTACTGCACACTTCAAAAAAAAAAAAAAAATCCCTTCTTACAGGTCAAGAGACAGGTAACTTTAATGTAACTTTGCAAAGCATAAACCAACAAACCAAACCAAAATCAAACTTGCAGAATGCTGCATAAGGGTTGCACTGAAGCTATCAAATACCATTAGTAACTCTGGAAATACTGAGCCACTTCACCACGTTTCAGCTCATGAAGGCCTGAAGTCGTGCTGGAAGAGCAAACTGAAAAGCTCCAAGAGACCGACAGCAGTTTCTGTGTGACGGATACTTGTGCGTGGTTAGAGCACGAGTTGCACATAGCACACGGTCCCAAGCGAGTTTATTCGGACCGGTTCCTGTGCTGTGTACTTGTCTGCCTCGGCTACTCATTCTGTGCTTGGCTCTACAGCAGGGCTGTTCCCAGCTGAGCCCTCAGCAGCGTCAACCAGCCCATCGCAGTGCTCCAAACCGCTCGGCCCTCACCTCCCCGACACCCAACACAGGAGGCCTCCGGGCCCGCCTGGGGCTGGGCACCAAGGACAGCACAGGGCAAAGGGATCAGAGGCGCTTTCAGCTGCCGTTACACAGAACAGCACCGAGCGTGCCAAGACACGGCAAAGATCCGCCTCCCGGGACGCGGAAGTCGCCTCCGCACCCACTTCCCAACACTGCCTAAAGCACGTTATCAAACAGCAACACGTAGGCAGCGCTTGAGCTGCCCGCAAAATAAAACACACGGAAAGCCCATGGCGCAACGTGCCGCGGCCTCCCCTCCCCCCGCCCCAACGGTCCCAACGGCCGCCGCGGAGAGTCCGGCGCGCAGAGCCGGGGGAGGCCGAGGACAGGAGAGCGGCGCGACCGACGGAATCACGTTTGGGTGGGCGAGGGCCTCGCAGTGGCGGCCGGGCCACCCTCCTCCCTCCCTCCCTTCCTCCTCCTCCCCGTCCTGCCGCCGCCATACCTTGTAGTAGAAAACCGCTTCCTGGTAGCGCCCGCCGTGGTCGCGCTGCACCGCCAGCTGCGCGAACTTCACTGCGTCCAGCTCCAGCGCACTCGGATCCATGGTGGCGATGGCACCGTCGCTACCGGCACCGAGACCTCCCCCGCACAGACCCTCCTGTCACGCACCGGCTCCGCGCCCGCCGCTCGCGCCTCCCTCCGCAGCCCGCTACCGGCGCCCGCCCCGCCCACGCCCCGCCCACTCATGTCCCCGCGCGGCCTCACGGCGGGAGGGAATGGAGCTGCGCATGCGCTCCGGAGCGGTGGCGCACGTTCGGTGTGAGAGAGCCGCCTTGCCCGCTCGCGTGCTGCACTGCGCATGCTCGGCGGTGGGGGCGGGAAGGCGGTGCACGCGGGTCGGCGGACGGGCGCATGCGTGTGGCGGTTGGGGTGTGGCGGTTGGGGTGTGGCGGTTGGGGTGAGGTGGGGGTTGTGATGGGGTGTGTAATAAACACGTTTGTTCACTAAGGCTATCGAAGGATTTTGTTAAAGTAACCACATCCTGTTAATGATCCACAAGATGTTAACCGTGAATAGGCTTTGCTTGCATAGGAACAAGTTTGGGAGACCAAGAGGTAGCCAACTATTTTGCATACAATGGGCACTGAGGGCAATGGGAAACAGAAGGCACTGAAGAAGGCTTATCTGCCTTCCTCCAAAACGACCATCAGAAGGCAGATAACGATCACCTAGAAACAGCCGGCGCAAGCACCTTCTGACTGAGCAACATCAACAACACACAGCGCAGACTCAACGGAACCTTCGGAAAAAACACCAAAGGCGGAACCTGGACTCAATATAAATACCAAGACTTTGGGGACTTGGTTGGGGCCTGAGAATGATTACCTCCAGGCYGCCCCAGCGCTGTCACCCTTTGTATCCAGCTTACTTTAATAAAATGTAGATGAGAAATTGGCTCGCCTCATCTATAACAGGGTGCATAGCACAGTGTTAGTCACCTCTTCATCTGCTTCCTCATTTAAAAGCCGGTGGCAAAGTTAGCTGTGGAGCTAGCTAGGTTTGGAGAAGTTTTGAGGCTGGTATTTCTGCCTGCTTGGGCACTAGTGGTGGGTGGAGTGCTTGTAGGGGAGACTCTCAAAAGTATCTTGTGCTCTCTTAGGAGCTGTAGAGATGAGTTCTTGCTGGGAAATGTGCTTTGGTGCTGAGGCTAGTTCCTTTAGTTTTGTAGGCAACACCTGGATGACTTGGCTATTGGCTATCCTAGTCTAAAATAGAAAGAAAGTAAGAAAAGGACCACAGCATCTTCTCATCTTGAAAATGTCACTTTTCTGGGTGGATTTCAGGTTGTCCATTTGGGAAGTCTTCATACTGGCAGCTCTACAGCCTAAACCTTTTATTTAGGCTCTCTGCTTTTTAGGTCTTTTTTGGAGCTGTTTGAAGAAAAATCATCTTATAGAGACTACTGCCTGTAGTCTACATGTTTTTCCATTACAGCACCTGCATGGTCTAGTGCTTCTGTTTCAGGATGAATCCCTGCAGGATGGGAAGGCTGACCTGGTTTGGCAGCTCTATGTATGTATGTGCTCTGAGAGGAGTGTCTTCAAGATGACACCCTTCTTTTTCTGAATTTGTAGACTGTATTCAAATGCTAAAACTAAATTAGTCTGTATTTTATGTGGTGTTAGGAGAGCTGACCTCTGCCTGATAACACAGACTGTCACATACCACTGTTTCCAGTAAACAGTAAATCCATGTAAAAATGATGCCTAGAAACTTATTTTGAAGCCTGTCTTCCGGGGAGTAGTGTCACTGTTTCACTTTTTCTGTGCCTTCTGAATAGGAATTCCATAAGGTATCCAAATACAGAAGTACTAAACTCCTTTAACTCCTTTTTTTTTTTTAATCTAGTGCTAGCATTCTCATTCAATTTTATCTTCCTCTTTATGCTTTACAGACAGAACTAATATCAATTGTGGTAATATTTTGAATTAAAAGACTTTTCTCAGTGAAGACATTCTTGTTCAATATTCATTCAATTGCTCCATGAAAATGAGTAAGGAAATTGGTCTACTTCAATGTGATATTCAGACATAACAATAATGGCTAACTCAGCCTAAAATTGATCTGTGCATCATGGCTTTAGACTAAACCATTAACAGTAAAATGAAAATCTGAAATATTCAGAGTGAGATGAAGCATAAAAAGGAGAGTGAACTATACAGAGCAACTCGCTTTTGCTATTAACTTTGTATGAGTCATCAGTATATTGTCTTGTATGGCTTTTTTTGTATCCTTCACTTAGAGACAATGGTCTTTATGTAAACACAGCTGTCAGACATGCCTAATAGCTGAAACTAAGGTATTTCTTTTAGTTACAAAGAACTCAGGAGTTATGTTTGGAAAGCTAATAATTTTCAAATTCTACATTAATTAATGCAGAATAATGTTTGACCTTTCTCAGATAATAAATTACCTGTATGTTTCTGCTTCTTTTTTGTTGCCTGTAGAAGTCTACAATATGGAGTTAAATGTGTAAGACGTGATATAAGTTAGTCAAGGCATCACTATGGCCAAGAGTTTACCTGCAGGTATCAATTTTTGCCTTTTGGCTACAGATCATTTTAGTTCTTCAGCCAAATAGAAAAGCTGGTTTCCTTTGTTCTTAACTTCCAAGTATGTTCCAGTGTCAGTGAATTCCAGATGTTTGAATTCTTATGTCTCTAGTTTGCTATCTTGCATGATACAGAAATCACAGTATAATTACAATACACAGAAAATTCCTTCTAGTTACTAAAGTTATTAAATATCACATGATGTTACTATTTGTGTAAAAGACTGTTAGGCAATAATGGTAAATAGACAAAGTTTACTCAAGCTGGTTGATGGCCAGAAGCAGCATTGCTTCCGTCACTCAAAAAAAAGACTTAAAGAAGAGTTAGATATGTGGTAGTAATCCATTCATAAGCCAGAGTCATGCTTTGCAAGAGGCAAGCTCTGATTGCTTCCTGTGATGCTGACAGATCTCTTTCTGCCTCTTACTGGGAGGTGCATTACATTATCTGGCAGTGGCTTGTTCTATAAATACTGGGGAATCTTGTTCCTATGAGTTTGTAGACGTTTAAATCAGGAGCTTGTATATGTTTAAACCGGTCAATGCCTCTCTGCCCTGCTGTTTTGCATTACAGTGTTTTCTCCGTATTCACTTATCCCCTACTCTTGCTGCAATTCCTATTGCTACATTCCTAGTAGGTCTTTTGGACTCCTTTTTTTGCCATAACCTTTCACTGGCATAAATACAAGATGCACATTGAAGTCCTGTCTCATTTTTTTTTCCTCACCTTTGGTGAAACTTGTTCTGAGTTTGCTGTTCTCCGTCTCCTGCCTTTATGCTTCTCTTATTTCTGTCCTTTCCACTCTTCCTTCTACTTCCTTTAGGTATCTTTCTTCCTTCCACTTCTCACGATTTTTCTTCTTCCTTTATGTCTTTTGCTATCAACATGCTCCAAGAATACCATTACTGTATATGATGTCTTTGTATCTTACTTTGTATCTTATCCCTTTAGCTCCTGCCATTTTGCGGACGCAGATTCAGAAGAGGAAATCCATGTTTTAATTTTTCAGTTCTTTGCTATTAATAAGCTTGAATCAGCTCTTTTTCATTAGGCTTTCCTCATTGAGAAGCTTCCCACAGGTTCTGTTCATATCTTACTTGATTTCTTTTTCTCACTGTTTTCTGCACTCATGCTGGAACAATAGACACTTGCATATTGATGGTGATTCTTACCTTGGTTACCTTACCTTCTAACCAGGTATAGCAAGTACAGCAGGGCTGTGATATTTCACCACTGTAACATAATAAATAATTGTGCTTCCTTTTGATATTTCATGTTATTGCTGATTTTTTTATTGTGTTGAGACTTTATAGATTGTTCAGCTTGACAGAGAACTAGGCAAAAGTATTTTAAATATGTGATGAATGGTATTGGATGGATAAAAGGTCTTTGCAGGCCTTTAGACTTCCAAATGTGCACCAGAGTCACAAGTTAAAGGAAATAAAACAGTTCCTCAAACCATGAATGTCTGTTTATGGTTCAGAACATTGCTGAAAATAAATGCCTATTTGAAAACAAGATGCTTAACTGTATGCTTGCCAATGATTGAATTGGCAAGTCAAAGATGCTTGCCAATGGCTAAACCGATATGGTAATAATTTACAGAAATCTGGCCTATATTTTCATGGTCTGTATAGGAGCAGCTCCTTATATCTGTGCATCTGCTTTGGTTGGGTTGTTTGAGAACAAATTTGATTACCAGTTAAGTTGGAGCTTGTGTGTATTCCCTAATGCATAAAATGTTGTCTTAAACAACCTGTGAGATGTATTATCAAATAGTTTGCTAAATAGACTGCCTTAGCATTTGCTGCATTTTCAGGGCTGAATTGTTACCTTGGTTATATTAAAAGACTTTTCACTTTCAAAAGAGTGGTTTTTTTCTTGCTTGAAAGCTTCAGAATCAGACCGCATAAACTTGATTTCTACTAGGGATATCTGTATGAAATTAATTTTTTTCAGCTCTTCTTTAGTGGCTTCTTGAAGTGTGCATGCAGGATTGTAACTGTTAATATGCCATAAAGCTCCTTTATTGGTAGAGCGTTCAAGATATGAAGCTCCTTGTGTTGCACCACTAGATGGCCCTATTGCTGTAAGATTGAAGTTAGAAACTTTTATGTTGAAGCAACACGAGTTATCAAATAGATATTTACTTCGGATTTGGTTTAGTTACTACTGTGGCTGAAATTCTGGTTCACTTCTGTTTTGAAGTTTTGTAAGACTTGGAATAACAGAGGCTTAGGTTTGCTTTTTTGGAGTCAGGAGTGGCTGGAAGATTTGGGGGTTCCCATACCCCCAAAGAATGGGGAAATGTTAGTGCAAGAAAATCACGTTAGTTACTTAATTCAAAAGTATCCAAGAAAATAAATCTTGGATAAATATTTGGATAGAAAGGTATTTGGATATAAACAATATTCTTTACCTCCAGTTTAAAGTACAGTACTTTTGGGGCTTGTTTCTGCAGATTCTTATGATTGTGTTACCTAGGAAAATA